TACAGTACAATAGTCTCTATTTTTGGTGAAAATTCGAAAAAAATATATACACATAAAAAAAACCAGTACATGTTTATTTCGCTAAGAATCTAAAATATTTTGGTGCAAAATATGAATGTGTTATGAAACAGATAGAAATTTCTGAAGCGGTTAATCAAAAACGTTTGTGAGTAGCATAGATACTTCACTAGGGATAGAGTTAGGCAAGGTTACAACAATTATTATATAATCTTCTGATAATGATAACACGGATTGAACAAAAAAAATTTCATCAACTACATAAAATAGTTCTTGAGATTATTGCTCACACACAAATAGGCAATAGGGGCGGAATTCGGAAGTTGAAATCTTTTAAAGTCATCATCAACAATAACGCTATTTATGTATAATATATATATAATGAGACGCCTGATGACGATCAAACTTATTTTCATGTAAAAACATACGATTTGAGCATAAAAATGGTTGAAATTTCTCAAAAAGCACATCCTTATTGATACTTATATATCGTACATATTATACAAAATATTACTTAATTGGGGTCTGTACCCCTATTCAATTTAGTCAAAACTAAAAGAATATTTTCATGTATACATTATACATGTATACTTAGATTTACGATTCAGAGAAATAATTTTTCCATACAGAGGAAAATTCGCCAAAAAAAACATAACCTAAAACAATTTTTTTTTTAAAGTATTAATAATACAAAATAGATTATTAATTTATAATAAGACGACAGGGCAGATACCAAAAAAAATGTCCGATTAAAAATAATAAGGCGTGAAAACAGCAACACAATCGCTATGGTTACCTAATGACGCATGGTTTTCATAAACACAAACAGCAAAATATTATATTGATGTAATAGATAATATAGATATAGAATTACTAAATTACTAAATATATATATATACGTAGTTATGAATATAAAGTATATAAAAATATTCGTTTTGTATAAATCAAATTATAATTAATATATAAATAATAAATGTATATAAATGTATGGTTGTTTTTAATTATAATTGTAAGAAAAAGTTTATTTTTAATCTCGTATAATTTCATAAGTAAATTGCCTATACAGAACCCCTTAAACATCAGCAGAAATCAGTTAAAGTAAAATAAAATATCGTTTAGTTGTAAAAATTCATCCTTCAACCGGTTTTTTGATTTAGTAGCAAATATTTTAAAAATATATATTTAATATACAAAAAATAATAAAAAAAGAGCTGATACTGGGAATGGGAGCGGCCACTGTTGTAGGTGAAAAGTTGGGAAAGTAGGAAACATAAGGTTATTTCATTTATATCTGTAAACAACGATAAACCATTGCTCGACGAAAGACGATTCCGAGCGCAATTCCGTAATACACAATTTGAAGTGCCGTAATTTTTTTTACGATTTTCGTTTAAATTTGTTTTCAAAACGCTTATTAAAATTGGTTTAAAAAAGTCACCCGATGATTTTGGAAATTTTGCCACGTCTAGGTTAGTCCAATATAAGTATTATTACCAAATTTCAAGTCTTTACGTGTATTGAAGTCTCTACGAATATTTTCAACTGAATTACTACAAAAAAAATAAAATTCAAAATAATTAAAGCCTTGTTTTCCTAAAATTTCCCATTATTTTTACGTTTTTTGTCAGTTTTGTTTTATTTTTAAAAAAACTACAAAGAAAATCAAAAAACCACTTTCTTGATCACTAATTAGATTAAAAATTCAAGAAAAAAGAAACCTTGATGTTTTTCTATTAGAGCAATATTTATGGTAGAAAAAATTAGCCGTAAAAATTTTAATTAATAAAATTCTTGTGCCATAATTTGAAAAAAAAATCGTATTATTCGTCTTTTTTGTTTTTTCCTGATTATTATGAAAAACATTATTTATATTAAAATTTTTCTTATGTGGCTACATGTTAAAAGAAACAAAATTGATCTCTTGTCGTTTCTCGATTGGAACAAGTTTTCTGGAAGAAAACATAAGTTGCAAAAATTTAAAACAATAAAATCAGTAACGCAGCGAAGCGCTGTAAATATTTGCCGTTTTATCTAAAGTTTTTTCAGGGTTCTCCCAATTATTTTGAAAACCCCTGGGAAAATTAAAAGATGACTTCCTTAATAGAGGAACTAGACAACATTTTCTTTCAGAAAAGGTACTATACTCTATACATCAGTGCAAGATTTCTTTTCGAAAGGTTGTAGTCAACAGACAGGAAAAAAAACACACATCATAGTGAAACCAATAGATCCTTCGCTACGTTCCGAATCCAAAATAAAAATGCAATTCTTTCTAAAAAAAAACACATTGGCTCAAATAACTTGATTAGAAATCTAATTGTCTAATTGTCAATATTCGACTATAAAACGTGTTATTGGGTAGGTATATATTTACTGTAAAGTTATCATGAAGCTTTAAATAGTGTTAAATATAAGAGTCGACTGTTGTGCAAAACTATCCGTGTTTTCTCATTAGACTCAACGATCAATCAGATTAGAATTCCTAGAAAATTTGTATTTATCAGACTGCTAATCCGATCCCATCTTGATGCGTTCGACAGACAACAAACAAACGTGATGGCTAGGGCACGAGGCTATGGAATTAATAAGATTAGGTTTGCCAAGTCAATGTACACAAATACAAAACAGGCCGTAGCTGGACCGAATTAAATCATCCATTATTTTTTATTATAAACATAATTAGCATTTGTTTTAAAAACAATAAACAATAATTTTTCAAAATTTTCTAGGGAGAGTGAATTTGAACCCTTAAAATTCCCATAAATACGGCTTTGTAATTTGTATGCGCCGGGAATCTGCAGCTATCGAGTTATACGTCATCGTCGGTTTACTCAGTTTACTGTAAACCCTGTGTTTACTACATTATTCACATAATATCATTTTTAATTTAAGTACCGAATATCATCCCTAATTTTACACGCACACTACGCACGTATAGTATGCATGCGTTGAGCTAAATATTTACAATACAAAAAACATCACGATATACGAGTAGGTACTTGCAACATTGTTGTTCTACAACACGGGCAACGGGACTGGAATGAAGATTTATTACCAACTATATATTATATACATTATATCTATATAGGCATAGATCATAATTTATAATATCGTACACTCGAAAAAATAGAGGAGCGAGTTTAAATACAGATAGTATTACAGAACGGCTGTTAGAAAATTGATACGATCGTTAAAAATCAGGGTTTCTTAAGCTACAAAGAAAAAAAGCAAGCTGTCCTAGGATCTACAACGAGACGGTATTCCGATAATAGAGCAAAAGTAAAAGAGCAAAAGCAAAAGAGCTAAAACATATAGAGCGAAAAATCAATAATTTTAAGTTTTGTACAAACATTTCATGATTGTTTTTCAAATTTCGTGAACTAAATATTTTACATGGGCCGAAAGTATAATATATAATAATATATAAATATATACTATAGGAAACATTTTAAAAACTTTTTTTCTCAGATTACGAACGAAATTGCATGCATTATAATAAATATAACGGACATTTATTGAATGCCTTCAAAGATAACAGAATTTGGAAGAAATTAAACATGAGTACTATCAATTTGGAATGAATATAATGAGGATAAAAAAGAAATTCAGGGATTCGGCCGAACGGATTCAAAAATTAGTAAATACATGCGACAAAAATAATAATTTTTATCATATATTTTTATATAATATCTATAATTTTTTATTCGCTATTAATTTTTTCAAATAAATAATTTTCGCTGTTTTGTATTCAATATTTTATTTTGACTATTTTGGAGGTAAACCTGTGGAGACGGATGCAGTCACTGTTATAGATAATTTAATGTGAGCCACGATAAACCATTGCTGACGAAAAAACGATTCTGAGCGGAATTAAGTTGATACTCATATTTTGTCAACAATATATATTTCATATTATGGTAAAACAATTAAATAAGCATTATATATTATCTTTAATAATATTTGTTTAATATATTTATACCGATTTTCCCGTTTTTCCTATGCTTTTCCTGGAAGGCTTCTGACCTCCCCCACCCTATTTACGTCTATGCTAAACGCACGACCGTCCTATGACAACGTGGATACGAAGTATGTAAATAAAGTTGTGTCGCCGGTTACATGCGGTCTGCAAAAACGCTAGCGACTTTCCGGTCGGTGGGGCAGTAAGCAAACATCGCATGTGCCTTCGGTACAAGTTTGAACTCCCTAAAGTCGCTCATTAGTCCGTAGCAATTGTTTTCGTAAACCGGTTTTTCTAGCGCGTACTGCAACGGTATACTATCCGATTTTGCTTGAACACAGTCCAACTGTAACTTCAGCAGCCGTAATATGGAGACGACGTCCGGGAAATATTTATTCTACCGGCCCCGCTTATTACTTTTTATCGCCAATACTTTCCCTTGTAGAAAACATCTTCAGACAGCTCATTACGGTCACTTAATGGCCTACGTCCTACCGCGGTCTCTAGCGGTTTATTACAGGCACCTAAATTACTTATTGCAGTCTTTGACGGTTGGAGGATGGATGGTGAACACCTACAATCATAACTCCCTCCTCAAATCTTTCTGTAACCACAGAGACAATCGCCTCTCAAATAAACATTTGTCACTGCGTATCCGGCTAAAATATTTCGTGTCAACATTTAATTGAAGTACTGCACTGTATAAATAATTTTCAAAACCATACTGTTATTTTAATGTCTACTTTAACTAATTGAAAAATCATAAATTTATTTTACGGTATTTTTTTGTTTTTTTTTTTTTCAATAATTTATACAAATAGATAGATGAATCGTCAATTGATTAGGCAACTAGGCGGACGAGGGGCCAGAACGCGCGCCTTCAGCAACTCTTGTACGTGCTGGTTGTTTTCAAGGAGTCTCCGAACGGAAAATGTCTAAACATTACTCACGGTGAGGCGTACCAGATGCCGTCGACGGCGGAGAGACGTGGCCACGTGCTCCGTAGTTGTCGTCGGCGGGGGAGGCGCGTCGCTAGCGCGTTTACCGTTCCCCTCTATTATCGGGCGCGCGGTTGAATACGTGAGAGTACGTGAAATACGTCGTCGGCAGTCACGTATACGTACGCCAAACGCCGTCGTCGCGTCGAGAACGGTTGCCGTCCCCCACCCGACGACGACGCGGGGCAGCGGTTCGAGACGTCGTCATCATCGGTTGCCATACGCGGGCGCTGCGGGTGTAACTCGTGTTCGTAGACTCGAAGTGCGCGTCAACGTCCGCCAGCCCCAGCCCCGGCAATCGCCCCACCACCGGGCGACCACATGTCGTAGCCCGGGCAACCGGCGGCGGTGGAAGCCGCCGCCACGTATACCGCCGGCCGGGCTCGTGCAACAACGCCGCGTCGCCGTCGACCGTGTGCCGCGTCGTCGCCCGTCGCGGTCACTGTGTGCGTCTCCGTCTTCCGTCGTGCCCGTGTCCGTTTCCGTGTGTTTACGCGAGTGTGCGTTTCGTGCGCGGGCGCCAACGATCGATAATAATAACTCGACGCGTTCTCTGCGAAAATAACGCTTCAGCTTATCACTGGAGTTTTGTGTACATCGAAGCAGACGTTATCGCGTTATCAGCCGGGTCAGTGTTCTGCGATAAGGAGCCGCCGCTTCCCACGGTAATAAAATCCACACATACATAATAATATTATAATATTATGTACCTACCTATATTATATTAATCTTTTATCGTTAACCCGAGTGCATAGACGCAACTAGGAGAGCGCCAGGGGGTCTTTAGCGCTCCCAATATTACCTACACAATAAGCTTATTTAAATATTATAGATTAGATATTTTAGTCAAGTGTTCGGGTTCATATTATTTCGTGTATTCCATAATTAATAAGCGAAATAAAATACAGATCACCCACAGATCACGCACATATGTATGAAAAATAAAATTAAAAAAGTTATAATACATTTTTATATAAGAATGTATAGAACGAAATGTGTAGATGCTTATTGTAAGTGCCGTGTAAAAGTTGTTATTGGGGCATTGCCCCTATGGAACAACGATGTGTCTATAATTTTAGCAACCCCAAAGTCGGTGGTCTATGTTGTGCCTATGCAGCTAAGTATGTATGTTACGTAAATCGTTACCGCCGTAGTCATGCATTTCGCCAATAATACGTGCGTGTGGTATTTTGCTCATGCCCGATGAGTAAGACGATTCGTATTATACGACGCCGTCTCCGAACCGGCCGTCTGCGAACACAATCGCGAGGTCGAATTTTCAATTACGAGATAAGTAAAAAAACGATTGTCCAAGGTCGTACCTGGAAGGGGGTTCGGAGTTTCATCCCTTCCCCCCGGAAATTGTTCGTGTTATATTATGTTTCGGGGAAATAATATTATTCCAGTCGATAAAATTAGAATACCACACATTTTTAATTTAGAATCCCCACCACCACAAAATAAGACCAAAATCCCAGCTCCTACTCCTTTGCCTGAAAATTCCCCGCAAATCAACTACCATCATACCTACTATAAAATCGCAAGTTTATTGTTTTAAATAATAATAATATGATCTAACTATTAGAAAGTGTTCTGACCATAGAAGAAATACGTGTTATACCTAAAACTATAGGTACTATTATTTTTTTTTTTGTACCTCTGTAGGGGGCTGCAACGTGCCATATACAGGGTGTATGCCGAGATATGAAATATAATTTTATTAATTTTTTTTTCATGTGAAAAAACTTAAAAACAAACTAAGACGGACATACTTCGCAAGTCGGATGGGCCACTGTTGTAGGTGAAAAATTGGAAAGGCAGGATATAGAAGGGAAATTTATGTACATCTGTAAGCAATGATAAACCATTGCTAACGAAAAACGACTTGGAGCAAAGTAATGCATGTTTTGAAATAGTTCCAATTTTCTTCAATATTTGGTAGGAACCTATTAAAAAAAAAAAAATACGACTTATAATGAACCTACTATGTACATTTTCAAGCATTTGTATTTAATTTAATAATTTTATCCACAGAATAAGTACCTATCGAATAAAAAATACGTAAAAAAACTTGCAAAATAAAAATGTTTTTAAATAGCTCAAAAATGGCTCAAACGTTCGAATTTTATCACATCTAGAAAAAATAAATATGAGTTTTCTATCCGTATTTCAAGTCTACAAATATTTTGAACTGAATCACAACAAAAAATACAAAAAATAGTGAAAATAATACATTTTGTAAACTTTCCCCTTTTTACCTACGTTACTTTCCAATTTTTATAAAAACCGCTTCGAAATCAAAACATGCATTTTGGAAAAAGTACCTAGTAGGTAAAATTTTCTTTAAGAAAAGGTGCTATTCTTGATACATAGGACCAAGATTTTTGGTAGAAAAGTTGTTCACAGAACAAAAAAAAAAGAATTAAACACTATTGTGTTTACAACATTTATTTGAGTATGTGATGATTGAAAAATAAAGTTAAGTATAGAAATCATTGACTACGCGAGCGGATTTCAAGTTAATTTTAATTTTTGAAATAGGTTTTGCATCCCATGAAAAAAAAAAGTGAAATGACACAACTGATAGAAAAAAACCCACGTATATCAAATCATTATATAAATATATGAAATCCCCGAGAAAATTACAGAATTGGCATTTAAAAGAATCACTCTGTATATGAAATGCATACTGAAATTGATCGTTTCTCGTCCCTTGCGCAATATTACAGCTCATTTAGTGATAATAAACTACACCGACGACCGGGATATTATTTATTATAATTGTTTTGTTTCCTTTTTTTTTTTTTATGAGACTAGATGTACGTGTTTTTTTGGATTACTTCAAACGGAACGGCGGCAACTGGTCTACTTTTAGCATCGCGTGCGTACATGACAGACCGCGACCATCCCGAATATTCGACTAGGTTACATTCAAAACAACAAGGGACATTTTTTGTTGCATTTAGGAAATAGTTGGTGAATAAAAAAGTCGTTTGTTATTTTTCCATGTTGTTAACATAATAATTGGGCAAAACCGGAAAAAACATAAAGATAACGGAAAGGTTTACAAAAATAATAGTTATTCATTATTTTAAGTTTTGTTTTTTTGTTGTTATTCAGTTAAAAATATTCGCAGACATGATGTTTTAATAGACAACTTAAATTTGACTTTTCTAGACTTAGTGAAATTTTCTGAATATTCTGAAAATAATTTTGAACTATTTATAAGTATTTGATATTTGCTAGTTTTTTATGTAGTTTTTTATTTGGTCAGTATGTGTATATTTGTTTGACCAGACAAAAATGCTTGGCATTTTAACAGGAAGTTCATTATACATTGTACTTATTGTTGAAAAAAAGTAGATTGCAATGTAGTAAGTTTTTTTTATAATGGTTTTTGAAATTTTCAAAATTTCATATTTTGATGAATATCGTAATTATGTTGTCCTTTTGAACCATGTACAAACGAAATTCGTTCGAGCAAGTTAGGTTATCGAAAACTTACCATAGTGTATATTATTCTTAAGTACTAATCACTATATTCACACTGCACCTAAGTGCAGTTTACTAAGTGTTTTTTTTTTAAATTTATTCGACGGCAATAATTATAGTACTTCCTGAGTTTTTTTTTTTTAGAACAAAATTAGTACTTGTGTGTTGTGAGCAGTATCGTACCATTCCCCCAATCGCCTAAAAAACACTTTTATTATATTTGTATTTAAGATACCCTGATTTTGAATTTCTACGGAAACAAAAAAATACAAAAAACCAAAAAGCGTCTATTTGATAAAATATTCAGTCGTAACGAGCTTTATTCCACCATCGTAATTTTTGTTTAAATATTTATGCTACCTATATTTCCGATTTTTTTTTTTCGGTGGTACAATAGCACACATCATTTTATTTATCATTTAACTTACAATTTAGTCGAGACACGAGTATGAAGGATGCACCGATTACAAATTATAAGTCGATATAAAGACGTGCCATGCATTTTTCGTCATTGACTATCTAATGTGCAATCGTAACAAAAATGTGTTTTTGTGTTTTCAATAGCAATCATCGGGCCGTCTTGATCATTTATCATGATTTCGGTGCCAATATAAACACTAGAAGTTGTATTAAACGTCTATAAAAAATGTTTTTGAATGTTTTTAAACGGTTTTTATTTCCATTTGTAAATTGACCACTTTAAAAAAAATCATATAAAATCGGTAAATTAAGATTTCAAAAAAAAAAAACCATTCTATAGACATCCAAAATAATCCAAAATAATTTCTCATATTTGTTTTGGCATCAATATCAAGTTTAATATAAACAACGAGGCTTGAGTATAAGTACTATACGAAGTATGACAACACATTTCTGCTATACATATTACCCGTTAAACGCGTAGACAAAGACGGCAAATGCATTGGCACCGAACACTGAGTTTAGATCTGATCCAGACAAAATCATTTATTGGGAGTGGTGGTAGTTTGGACGTGGTGATAGTTAATGGATTAACTGTTATTTCCTGTTCTGAATAGATATTATTTAAAATGGCAACTCGTACTCATATATTAATCGTATTCTGAGTTTTTAGTAGGTATAAAATAATATAAAATCATGTTTTTAATGAGATACGGATATTATTTTACAAAACCACAAATTTGATGAATAAGGTTCTACTTCTAGGTAAATATTTCTGAAGAAAACATGTCTGGCTTGTACATTGTAGTAAATTGTTAATACATATAGTTCATTGTGTACAAATGTTGTGATTTTGTATTACTGTATTAACATTCAATATTGATAAATAATAATACGGTTCATTACTTTACATTGACATCATTCTCTAGTCGGTTAGTCTGTATTGTGAATTTTTAACATACCAGCTGTATGGGTGTATGTTTTGCAAAATAAATTTTAAATTTCAACGTTAAAGTTTTTTTTTTTCAATTTTAAGATTTTGAATCATTTTTATTTTGGAACTTTTGAATCATATAATAACTACTCATGAATTAATCTAATCTAATCAAAATTATGTTTGACTGTATATTTTTATACCACTAAACACAAATTAACTACCACACCACGTTGGTAATGCGTGAAAAGAAATTTATTGAACTGCAATTCCGCTTTAACTACGGTATTGTCCAAAAACAGCAAAATTTGTTAGAGATCATTCGCAACTGGCTGATTTTTTTGATCCGGATATTTTGGTAGAAACCCGATAAATATACAATAACATTATTCCATATTTTAATTTTAAACACGTAGTGACGCAGTGGCGTGCTCACGGTGGGGGGGGGGTGAAGGTGTCATATCCTCCCATGAACTTTTTTTTTATGTGTTTATTTGAAGTTCCTTGGTAGTTTCGGTTTTCTCGGAATAAAAAGTAGTACATAGTTGGTTTTAATTTTTAGTCATGTTAATTATTATCATACATATAAAATATATTTAGTAGATACTATTGTAATAGTAATTATCTATAGATAATAAATAAATATTAAAAGATAAAAGGTACCAATGAACTATCATAATATTTCAATCCATTACATTCTGATATCTATAATGTTATAATCACGACCATCGGTATATTAATATATTAACAATTTCAGTTATACAGTTTTTAGCTATGCTATAATAAAACTCTTATACTAATGTGAATTAATACTCGTATATTGGAACGATATTCTAAGAATTTGATTTGTGATCATAGGTTTGTGTTCGTGGTTGTGTTGTGGATTATTGTTACGATCATGGACTTTGCAAAGATACTACTTTTAGCGTCTTACTGTATAATTATCGAACTAAACCTTCGTGCGAAATCTATACAATTATTTCATAAAAAGGGCCGTGCTTTAAAGTAAAAATGTTTTTAAAAATAATCATATTAAAATATTGACTGAAGGTTCATTGTACATTCAATAAACATAATATATTGAACAACGTTCAGATAAAAATAATTTCTGTCAAAATCGAAAAAAAAAAATTCACGATGCGTAGTGTAGTTATAAATATTAAGTAAATAATCTGTTGGTATAATTTTGAATACAAATATAATAGATATCTTTATATTTTATGTAAACAATAAACATCATTATATAGATAAAAATAACTGAAGTTTATCTTGACTTTCTTAGAAGGAGAATATTCGTATTTTACTTATACTAACCTTTTTTTCAATTGATTATATTATGAAAAAAAAAATATACTACATTATACTCAATTTGTGTTTTTTTGTTCAATTATTTTCATTATATAATAATTTTTGATCAATGTAATCCTTTTCTTTCCATTGGAAACATTAAAATATGTATTCTATAAAATATTAATTTATTAGATTTATGATTTCAACGCCAAATCTTTATATTGTTTGGGCAATGGGAATTGATAGAAAAATATTTAAAATTTTATTTTCATTTCACCGTAAAAAAAGTTGTGATTTGTCTTCGACTTGTCAACATGAAAAATTAAATAGAATACGACTAAAATATAAGAGACACTTTACTTTCCCCAAATTCAAGTAATATATTATGAGAATATATACTCACTTGGCTCTTATCAGTAGTATATATAGAGGTGGGCAGAGCATGCCAACCCCCCCCCAAAAAAAAAAACCATTTCTTTCTCTATTTAAAAATTTAAGTGAACCTCATAAAACCATTTCATATTTACTCAGTCGTCCAATCAATAATGTTAATATTATAATAATTATAATTGTATTATTAAATATTCGTTGTTTTTATTTTCAAACTATTTGGAATGGTATTATTATTAATTATTGATATACTAATTTTACAGTATCAATAGTTTCCTATTTAGGTACATTTTTTTGGTGAATATGTCGACAAAAATCTCCTGCCACTCACTAGTTCCCCAAACTGGGAGACTGATGGGAGTTTCAACAAAACAAACGACACCATTTCACGATAACAAAGGGGATTGGTTCCCCCCTTTGACAGTGTTTTTACATGATTTTTCTACAATTGTTTGTATGTTTTTTTTTTAATAAAAATCGCTCTTCCTTGAACAACCCCAGGATCTGGTACTGATGGGACATTACATATTTTTCACTTAAATCGTTTATTAAAAAAAATCCCTACATTATTCTGAACTTTTTTGGTTCCCCACTACTTACAACTTACCAAATAATTTTAATCACATAGAACCAAATAAAATCTTTAAAAATTTGAAAATTTCAAATGGCTATGATTGAAAAATTTCCAAAATGATTTGAAAATTGTATCATTTCTACTGTCTAGGAAGAACTGTACATAAGAAACTGTAGGTATGGTTAGCGATGCATACCTACTAGTTTCTACCTAGGTATTATAATTTATAAAATTTATATAGATACTATACAACTATATCAAATATCTACCAAATAAATTACAATAGTTCACAGAAATAGTTAGGTAGGTAGTTAAAAAAATATTAATATAGTTGAAAAATAATGTTTAAAAAATAATTTAGTTAAAAATTTAAGGTAGGTTATTCAGAAAATAAAATAAGTAGATACTTACGATTTAGTTTTTGTTTATACAAGCTAGTAATAACAGCGAGCATAAAGTAGGTTACGTATTTACTTATCATACAGTAGTAGTTACTATAATACCCATCTACTATAATTTATTAAGAAGCTAAAAATTTAAACTAAAATTATTATTATTTTTACTATTTTAGGATCAATATTAAATTGTCGCCTCTCGTATAAGATATTTTTAAATTATAAAAATAAATTAGGTAACAAAACATTATAAATTAAGTACATCGTTCTCGGCATTTTCCGTTCCTGGAAATACTGTAGGTACGATCTTCAATAATCCAGGTTTCCTAAAGTATTTAGAAATAAAATAGATCCACTTTAAGGCATATAAGCTAAACGAACAAATATATTGTAAGACAAACTACACAAATAATGTAAGCCTTAAAAAATGTGAAACATAAATAAAGAAATTACAAAAGTCCAATTTTTAAATAGATAATGTAGGGAAATATATTATAAAATAGTTATTGTGTCCATATTGTATTATACATATTTATTGTATATTGTATACGTACCAGCAACAGTGCAACGTTTCATGTATTTATATTTTGTGTTAATTTTGATTGTTATTATTATTTTTTTTTATTTTAATTTAACTGTAATTTGACCAATGACGATTTATTTAAAGTTGTAAATATTTTAGGACCACTGAAAATTAAATTTTGGTGAGTACCAGTACTTCACGTTTTATAAGTTCTTTTGTTATAAATTCTATAATGGACCGTATCTATATTCCAACAATTGCCTTACTTATACTTAATATTTACTGGAACTCTAATCAATAAATTTAATTTAACTTGTTTTACTGTTACGATTATCCTACTAATAAATACCTGTAGGCACGTCTTGATCATGCCCCCACCCTTATCTCCTCCCGTCTAACAATATAAAACCATTGTCCATTACAGCCAACTCCGAAAATATTTTCACTACAGTACGTCAATGGTCGATATTGTCGGTTTAAGTTTTAGGAAAATATAATATACCTATAACCTAAATTTAAAGAAATGTAAGTATAAATATATTTTAATAATCGAATAATAATAATATACGTGTAGTTATTTCAATTCGATAAACGTATACTTAGTCAGTGACATTTAAAAGCGAATTGGAACGTGGCCAGTGATTTTTTACTATAAACTACGTATAAAACGTAAAGAATTGTTCAGAAAACTTAATGTTTTCTAGTTCAACCACATATTCTCATGTAGGTACAGTGACGTGTATAATGCACATACAATAATAAAATAATAATGTTAACAATAATAATATATTATTATACTATAAACAGTGTAAAATATAAAAATTGCATTTCATAATTAAAAAATACACTATCTAAATTTGTATGCAATGATGCAGTAATAAGAACGATAATATACTTGTAAATATTATTTATTTAAAACATATTGTAACGATTTTATTATATTTTTTGTTTATCTTTGCTCGTTTCCGTCACGCGCATTTATAATGTACATTACACACAATATTATTACCATGAATCATAATGTCAATAACTGGACATCACGGACGCGAATCGCACAATATATCTAATAATTAAATTCGTATAGTCCTAATTTATCGTCACTGTAATGAAAATAAAAAAAGAAGAAAAACAACAAATATAAATAAAATATTATAAAAATAACTGCAGTATCATAGATATTATGTATGTTTGTATCCACTTGTCGAACACAAGGACGCGTGTATTTGATGACTTTTCCGAGTAACTGAGAAACGATATTTTAATAAGTACCTGCCTACCTAAATACAAAGAACAAGTGTATACACCATCGTGCACGATAATTATTACGAAGGTTCAATTTACACCAAAGGTTTTGTACGTACAAAAGAAAAATAAATCATTATTAGAATTATTATCTTATATTAAATGTATGTTCATTTAAGTACCTACGGTTCAACATTTTATACTAATAATAATTGTATGTACCTACTCTAATGTGTACACTGTACAGTGTGTAATTTTTATAAAAAAAAGTATAAACAGACGTTCTAGGATAATGGAGATGAGTGCAGTCATTGTTATTGGTAATTTAATGTATACCTGTAAGCAACGATAAATCATTGCTAACGAAAAAACGGTTTTGAGCGCATTTCAGTTGATAGCGATGCTTTGGCATGAGAAAATACCTAAGAAAATCGAAAAATTACCTCCATAAAGTACCTTCTCAGTCAAATTTCCTTTCAAAACAAGTGCTATCATTTTAAATCTGAGCGAAATTGATGGTATAAAAGTACACAGAAAAAAAGGCCATAATATTGTTTTACTAATACCTACATTTCGTACATTTTCCATTTTTCTAACATTTTATTCCAGTTTTTCCAAGATATTATGAAAAACGCTTGAAAAATTAAAAAATAACCTCCCAAAAGTACCATCTGGACAACATTCCCATTCAGAAATAGTGCCACGCGTATATATCTGAGCAAGATTTCTAGTAGAATTTTTATACACAAAATAAAAAAAAAATAATAATAATAAACAACTTAACAAAACCAATACATTCTTCGCAACATTAAGAATCTAAAATAATAAATATGTTTAGTATTATATCAATATAATAACTTTGGATTCTGAACATAACGAACTGCACTATACTATAGTTTTACTAAGACGTTTTACTTTATTTTTTATTTTAGCAGAAAACATTTTTTCAGCAGGTAAAAATATTGCAAATTATTCACATCGTACCTTCAAAGGACACCACACACGCATTATCCGTTTCCGTTTTACAAACACGGTATACCAAATTTGCCTTTAGTAAGACTTATATTATGCATAGGCGGAAATCCATTGTCATCCAAAAGTTGGGGGCTACAATTTTTCTCATAAACCAAAGCCATAGGGTATTACACCCTTCATACCCTCTTATAAATAATTCTGAACGAATTTTTTAATTTAACATTCAATGTAAACTATAGTCTATAAATAAAACATTATCACAATCGTGAGTAAAGTATGGCTTTTGGGTCTGAGAAAAAAAAATCAAAATATCGATAAACGTCTCATAGATTGTATACCGTCTTAAAAATTCTCTATTGATTAGATTTTTGATTTTTCTACTTTCCGACTGATTTTCAAGGACATCGTGGATTTTTTTGTATATTTTGTAAGGAGTTTATAAATTTAGTGGTTCTAAAAAGGGCTTTTTTAATATGGTTGTTTCTGAAAAGAGCAGTTTTCAATACGACATATTTGTTTTATCGGTTTGTAATTAATCAAATTTTTAATAATAGATACGTATACACATTTTACATAATTTTCACAATCATTAAATTGGTCTACCGAATAGTATAAAATAGTTGGAATTACCTACGTAAGTTTGCAGTATAAGATAATTCACTGCTCACATACTACACTCAAACATATATAGGTACATAAACAATAAAAAATCGTGTGTTCACAAATAATAATAGGAACTTAAAAAAAAATAATTTCATAACGAAATACAAAAAGTGTGCGGACTGAGAATGGTCTGTAAATGGAATAATCGAAATTTTTTTTCTCAGACCTAAAATACTTTTTGCCACATTGAAGCCATACTTCAACCAAATCGCGTATTATTTGCCACTGCGTAGTGCGGAAATCAACACAATTACTTCGACAATAGACAGTATTGGTATTTCGAAATTAATATATTAATTATATTAATTTAATTATTATATTAATTATATTAATATTAAAAAAAATTCTTAAATTAACAGTCAAAAACAACAATTATTCGACGGTCACTAATTGAAAACAATGTATAACAAATCACTAAATAGCGTTCCAACTTATAATTTTAATTTTTGTGTAAAACATTATATTTTATACTTTTAATGTAAACAAACTTTTAACACAAAAAATATTATGTTTTATTTTTTTGTTTTTTAAGAATATATTATATGAATGGGTACAAAAAGCTTGGTGGGCTTTTCGGGGGGCTAAGCCCCCAAACCTCCCGATTTCCAACAGTGAATTTGTATACCATTAGTAAAATCGTTAGTATTAAAATGAATTGACCTATTTCCAAACTTAAAGTTAAGCAGATTATCTGTGCCTTAGCATTGATGTTTTTTCGATATTTTAATTTTTCAGTTAGATCCATATCTCACGGGTGTGTAAAAAATCACAATATAAAAATTATTGAACCTCACTTAAAAATTAAAATAACGAAATAACATCAACCTTTACACACAGATAATTTACTTACCTTTAAGTTTTATAATAGAACTTTAATATAAAAACTCACGACACAAAATATTTTGTGTTTTGCAATTTAGTTTTGTTGCACGTTTGTAAGACAAAGACAGTGTGACGTCCTCTTAAAAAATGCAAATATTTCACTCAGTCGTACTTAATTTGAAAACAATCTCTAGATTCCCATGACGCGTGAAGTATATTTCCGGTTTTTATTTACGTTTATATAGTGTGAAAAGTTTCCAAGTTCTCGAAAACAAATTAAGTGAATTCTTAGGGCAATTACTTTGAAGGAGATAATGTAAAGAGTCATTTTAATTCAATAAAAAAATTATAAATATCAATCTCATTACTTTATCTACACACCTCGTATTTTATCAACGGAGGTACCTACTTGAGTTTAATATTTACTACATTTTTACATTTTAGCCGACTTATAACCTACAAATTTACATCAAAACGGATGATACAATGACGATAACAAAAATATGCTGTATAGGCGCTGGATACGTCGGAGGCCCGACATGCAGTGTAATAGCGATGCAGTGTCCGCACATTAAAGTAACAGTAGTGGACATAAGTAAACATCGTATCGCCCAATGGAACTCAGATAAACTGCCTATATACGAAGTAAAAATACATTTATTTATATAAGTCAAGTTTGTCACTGAATTTGAAAGTTAGTTAGACAATAGCAATTTTTTTTAAATCTCTTCAGATACTATTATTTTTATGGAAGTATACCTCAAGGTTCAAATGGCTTACGTTCAAAGATTTACGTTTAAGCATAATTTTCAAGATACTACATTTTTAAAGAATTATTAAAAAAATTGTTTAGAATACTTAATCGATTATCATTAAAATAACATTCTAAATATTAATATGAGTTGGTTAATATTCTTGTGAGTTGAGTTGAAGTCATATTTTAAACTATGTTCAGACCATTTGATGAAAATGTAGTCACTTTTTTTTTAATTAAAAAAAAAAAATACTTACATCTATTTAACTTCGAATTCTGGGACATTCTGTAGTACTTATATATTTTTAATATTTTTACTTAAACAGATCTTTTTTTGTCTTATAGCCTGGACTTGACAACATTGTTAAACAACGGAGAAACGTGAACTTGTTCTTTTCTAACGACGTCGAAAATGCAATAAAAGAGGCGGATTTAGTTTTTATTTCCGTAAATACTCCGACTAAGACATTTGGAGTGGGTAAAGTGAGTATACATTAGAATTAGTAAAATGTAATAAAAAAATATTTTGTTTTGTATATGATTTGAAAAGTTGTAATATTTACGAAATTTTATCTTTAAACCATTATATTAAAAAAAAAAAAAAATACTACTTTAAACTCAAATTTTATTTTTGACTACTAAATACAACTTAATGAACCTCCTTTTCAAACATTTATATCAGTCAACTATTGTATCCATTGATTTGGCTCAAATTACTAATAAAACTAAACTGAAAATCAAAAAAATGAATTGCTCGATCGGAAATCTATATCAAAAATGCAACCAAAAAGGTTTCTTGGTACTTTTTTGATTTAACCAATATTTATGGTAGGAAACATAGTATGTACAAATGAAAACCAATGAAATTGGTGACTTTGTGGGGTGCCGTGAAAATTCGTTGCTTTTCGTATGATTTTGAAAACCCCTTAGAAAATCAAAAAATAACATATTTAATGCACCAACTAGTTCCAAAAATAAAAACGCACATTATAGTAAAACCATTACTTACTCTGAATCTAAAATATTATCGTCTATATACATTTATACATTTTAATTAATATCAAAATAAGCACCATAAGAAATGTAGTATCATTATTAAATTACCTAATTTCAATAACCAAAATTTGCAGGGACGTGCAGCTGACTTGACACATGTTGAAAATTGTGCACGGATTATTGCTCAAGTTTCAACTAGTAATAAAATTATTGTAGAAAAAAGTACTGTTCCAGTACGTGCTGCAGAGAGTATTTTAAAAATTTTAAGTGCGAATCATAAGCCAAATGTTAAATTTCAAGTAAGTAGTAATTACTAATCTCTTTGATTCTTTTGAAAATATTGTTTTATGTTATTTTTTTAAAGGTATTATCTAATCCAGAGTTCCTATCTGAAGGTGTGGCAGTTGAGAACTTGTTAAACGCTGATAGAGTTCTAATAGGTCATGAAGAGACTGCTGATGGTTTTTGGGCATTTAAAGAGCTCAGTAAAGTTTATTTGAATTGGATTCCCGAAGAAAAAATTCTGAGAACAAACACTTGGTCATCGGAACTAACCAAACTTGTAAATTTAATACTTAATGCTTTTGCCTGTGATATAAAAAATATCTTAGATATTATGTTATTATGTTTACAGGCAGCTAATGCATTTTTAGCACAGCGAATATCCAGCATTAATTCTATGGCAACAATATGTGAAGAAACTGGTGCAGACATCAGTGAGGTGGCTAGAGGAATTGGTCTCGATTCCAGAATCGGTTCTAAATTTTTACAAGCATCTGTTGGTAAATAAGTATATTACTTTAACTTATAGTAGAAAACCATTTAACTCTAATACATTTTTACCTAAAATGAGAATTTGTTAAAAGGATTTGGAGGCAGCTGTTTCACAAAAGATTTATTAAATTTAGTATACATATGTGAACATTTGAATATAATGCAAGTAGCTATGTATTGGCAGCAGGTGATAATAATACTATTATAATACTATTTAAGTGTTAATTTGAATACTTGTATACTTAATAGCTCATTTTTGTTTTCAGGTACTTGACATGAATGATTACCAGAAATCAAGATTTTCCAATAAGATTATTGAATCGTTGTTCAATACAGTTACTGGTAAAAAAATAACCATGTTTGGATTCGCATTTAAAAAAGACACAGGCGATACACGTGAGTCGCCTGCAATACATGTAGCTAAGACACTCCTCGATGAAGGAGCTAAACTTAATATCTATGACCCAAAGGTGAGTTAAAAAAACAATATAATAGATGAAAATATTAAAACCGGTACAAGTCTATAAAACGAAAAACCAGTATTGTTAAAGCAACAAATATTTTTTTAAAGAACATTTTACATTGGTTTACATGGTTCTTAATTATTTTCACCATTAACAATGACCACTATAATTTATAATCATTATATTAGTTAGGAATTTGACTTTCATTTCTGAAAACATATCATCATTTAAATATATACAAATTAATAAAATAAGTATAATTTGTATTTAATAATTTAAATTACACTAACATACTGAATACTGATGCCTGATGCAGATATTGAAAACTAGTTGTTCACTGAACAGATTAATATAAAATTGGCATTTGTTAAAACTATACATTAGCAAGTATAGGTTATTAGTTTTAATTTAATTTTAATCATAATGATAACATTTATATGACATTAATAATGTGTATTAAGATAATTTATAACAATTCATGTTTAGTATATCTACTCTTAATAAATATTATTAATTATTTTTGTGATATTTATTTATTCAGAACATAATTTTATAAATTATTCAATAATTTCAGGTGGAACATGAACAAATTCAAAGGGACCTCACGCATCCATATGTAACTGAAAATCCAGAAGCCGTTATGAAATCTATAGAAATACACAATGACCCATATTATGCTACAATTAATACACATGCAATTGTAATATGCACCGAATGGGATGAATTTATAGTAAGTTTTTTGGGAAAAAATTGTGTTATTTTATTATAAAGTTATTTATTTAATATTTCACTTAATTGCACTTAATTTTACTTTTAATTACAAAATTATTTAGTATAATTTGTTTTATTGTTAATCAGCCATTTAATAATAAGTAACTATTTATGATTTTTTTTTTGTCAAATTTGATTTATTTTCCAAAAATTCTTATTTTAGAATGAATTTTTGTCAAAATTAGTATACCTATTAATTAAAATTTCATTATTAACTGCTCTGCTCTTTTAAACTTTAAATGCTAATAAGCAAATTAAAAATAAACATTTGATGGTTTAATATTCAAATTTTGTGTTTAAATTTTTAAACTATGCAGCATCAGTATCAATTAAAATTTGGTTTCTTTTAAAAATATCTATGTTGAAAAACTATAAAAATTCTATTTTTTTTTTGTTAAAATATATGCACTCATTATCAGTGTTGGTCAAGGCAGCTAGGAAGAAATTGGTGTCTATATAATAACCTTCTCAAACCCCTCCCACCAAACACCAAAAAACCGTCCAGCGGCATACAAGTATAATATATATTTCGACACTAATCAGAAAAGTTAGGATATTAACTACCTCTTCTCATAATATAGTCACGTAGATTCCATGCACTATTATCGTTATTCCCATTTATGATAATTGTTTTACTATTAACACTTATTAACATTTAGTGTAATTTTTCGAAAAAGGAAATTCGACTGGGGAGATACTTTAAAGAGGCCATTTTTCGATTTTTTCATGAGTTTTCTGATCAAATATGATAAACCAGAAAAAAAAACATGGGAAAAACAGGGAAATCGGTACAACATTAAACAAATATTATTAAAGGAAATAAAATCTATTCAATTATTTTACTATAATATGACATATTATATATTGTTGACAAAGCATCACTATCAACTGAACACCCATCCGAATCGTTTTTCATAAGCAATGGTTTATCGTTACTTACAGGTATACATTAAATTACCAATAACAGTGGCTGCATTCATCCCCATTATACTAAGACATTTTTTTAATAATTACTTTCATACCAAAGGTATTAAATACAAAGTTGACATTTATTTTAATTTGTAATAAATTACAATTTGTATTAACTGTTAAAAAATAAAAATTGAATGAACTATATATAATGATTTAATTTATCTACTTAACACAAATATGAATAATGAAAACAATAATGCACGAGTGATCAAGTAGATTGGGGCCCTATAAAAATCTTGCCTGGGTCCTTTGATGACCAGGCGAACACTGCTCATTATTATTAAAACATAAAAAGTATTGAACTAATCTATTCAATTTTAAAATAACCATTTTTAATATTATGTGTTTCAGGAATTGGATTATAAACAAATTTATAGAGGCATGATTAAACCAGCATTTATTTTTGATGGCCGCAAGATTCTTAACCATGATAACTTAACTAAAATTGGTTTCCAAGTACATACAATTGGGAGACGCTAGTTTATAAAATGTTAAATCACTTTTTGTCTTCTATATAACATATTTTAAATAATAATGTTAAATAATGTTTATTTTTTAAAAAATTTTATTTTATTTTTTTATTGTAATTACACGAACAAATTTATACAGAATATGGCCATCAGCTACTTAAATTAAAAAATATTATATGTATTCCAATATAATTAGGTATATCATTTTTGTACCTACTAAAATAAATATTTTTATTTAATAACAAATGTTTATTCGTTTGCAATATTTTTAAGAATCAAATATTTAAATTAAAAATTTAAAAACTATATTATGAAAATGATTTTCTTTGAGTTGGGTAGATATGTTGGCAATTTTGTACTTCTGACTGTTGGGTATACAATTTTGTTTCCCCCCTCCCCTTATATGTATACCTACTGGATGGCTAAAAATCGCCTGAAGGAAATCGATTTATGGAAAATATAAATGCGTGACCTGTGAGTAGGGACGTAAAAAAACTCTTTACAGATGCTATGTATTGCAGAGGCAGACCGTCAATTGTGCTACTGTTTTTCAGAAATTTTTTTTTTTTTAAGAATTTGAAAAAATATACAGCAGAACAAAATTATCATATCCTTCTAAATCAGCATAATTCAGAAAAATAGCAAATAATGTAAACATTAGACAAACACGTTCTTTGTTAAGGTGACAGGATTGTACCTACTCCGTATAGCAGAAGCGTCCCTAAATATTTTTCAAAAGCGGGCGAATTTATTTTTAAATCAATAATTACTATAGACGTATTTTTCGCCGTAAATATTTACCTTGGAGATACAGATGACATATATTGCATTGTAGGCGGACTACCCACTTTCCACCTATTTTTTTTTTCCGGCCAATATACTAAGCAAAACAGGAATAAAGGTATAAAGACTACAATAAATGGGACGGGCAACGCCAGATGAGTGACAGCTAGTAAAATAATAAAATAATGACAATAATAATAAATAAGTACAATAAGTTATTAGTTTTTTTTAATGATAACTTCAAATTCAAATTTTAATAAAATATTATAGTAAAAACAAAATTATTAAAATGGTTAACACTCGTAAATAAATATATATATTAAAAATGTATGTATAAAATCAAAAAATAATAAATAAAAGAATGAATGCGTCGCCTAAAGTATTATGATAAGTATATTATATGACTGGTTTTCAAATTAAAAATTCATCATCAGGTATATCACAGTCAAAATGTGAAACCCAACTGAATATAAAAAATTGAAGGAATACAAAGAAAATAATTATACAAATTGGTTCTTTTACAATGAAATAATTTATTACAATAGGAGAGATTATTTAAAGTTAGTTATTATTAAACATAGATAGGTATGTTAAAAAATATAAATTATTTGGTTATTATTTAGTACCTAAAATGTATTAATATAAGATATTATTTTTAAAATCGGTTTGTACATCTAAAATATTATTACAATTATTTTTCTTTATTTCATTGCATAAATGTAATTCCTTTAAAACTGAATTAATGTAAATGTTATTTTGGGTATTTAATATTTCTAAATCTGTATTAATATCAAAGCTTATATTATGGTTATTTTAAAACATTTCTAAAACATGTTTAGCGAAATTTAAATTAGGGGCAATCTTTAAATTTTATTTCAGAAATAAGTTTTTTATATCTTATTTTAAAATTTCTATTTGTCTCGTCTGAAACAACTTATTACAGTTACATTTAAGTTTATATATACCAGCATTTTCAAAAGAAGGGTGAAGTTTTTAATTCTATTAATGTATATGTTTGATTAAATTATTATTAGCCTTAAAAGCGATTTTTACATTATTTGTATTATTGTTCAGAATTTTAGCGAATTAGTGGGACATATTATTTTGATATTTCACACTACAATAGTTAAAAACATTATTTAGTGAGTTGTGGATTATTTTTTCTTTAATACGTTTATGAATTTTCGTAATAATATTTAAATTAAAATTATTTCTATGGGTTATATTATAGATAACACCGATCTCATCTTGATAATTATGTTAATTTAATAGAATACTTTCAAGCCTATAGAATATTGAATTAAAAAATTATATTATTGAGAATAAAGGTGATTATAACTATATGGTATTATAACATCAGTTTGTGTAGATTTCTTGTAAATAATAAAATACAGTTTATTGTTTAATATGGAAACTGTAAGTCATAAAATCTAAGAAATTTAATATATAATCTATTTGTATTTCGAGTGTAAATTGATAATTTGTATTTATTTTGTTTAAGTAGTAAACTAAATTTTCCGCTTGTCTAATAATTTTAATAATATTTCAAATGTTCACTGGTTTTAAAAATAATAACTTATATCAATTCATTTTAGATAATAAATAATAACAAAATAATTTATATTTCTTAACATATCTATATTTAATACTAACTAATTTTAAATAATCTCTCCTATTCAAATAAATTATTTCTATAGTCTATGTAAAACGACCAAGTGAAGAATACGTTAGTTTAACGTTAACGTTAGTTAAAATTATTTAACTGTATTGTCACGGATCGTATTTCCCCGAATAAATATATACGTAAACCGTTTAGTCCTGTACTGTAGAAATCTAGAATTTAAATTTTAAATTTTAAATCTAATTTTATTTTAAATTTTAACACTAACACCATCAAGTAATGTAACATACAATTATAAAATAATAATTATAATTATAAAATATGGTTTAAACTTTCTAAGGATTTTTAAATAGGCAATCAAGTATTACTATCTGTAATTATAAATGTATTTACATTTTAATAGGAGCAAAGCGAGGACAGTTTTTAAGTGGTTATTACTTCTACAAATTCTGAGATCCCAGACTTCAGCACTTCAGCAGTTCAACTCTCCTCTGAAATCTCGAATACGATTTGTTCTTATATCTAGAAGAGGACTAGAAGAACACTAACATCGCCTCAGCGAAAGTACTGTTGGCATACACTGGTAGAATATCTACAGATCACTGTAGCATTGGCGCCCGTCAAAATAATATATATTTTTAATTATAATTCTAGTTGCAAAACGAATTAGTTATTATTGTTAAGTGATCGATAATTTATATTATTATTATCTTATTTCATTGTAATTCAATAATGAATAATCGTAGCATTTTCTATACATAGTTTCTTTGGTTTCAATCCGTACAATCTATTGCAACCATCTTCCACGCTTCTCTATTTTCTGCTTACCTCTTTTTATTTGTAAATATGAGTTGCATCCTTGGTCCTTTATTAATTATTGAATGTATTCTAGTCTTGGCTTTCCTCTATAATTCTTCCTTTCTACGTTTCTCCTTATAATTATTTTTAACAATGTAACAATCTCTCAAATATTAAATGGCCTATTCTGTTTTCTTACTTTATTCTTCTATAATAGCTTTAGTCTTTCTAGTTATTCTTTCAATTATTTCTTTATTGGTTGAATAACCAATAAGTTGGATGGGCAGAATTATCTATCTAGAGTTGCACCTAAAATACATGATGATAATATTTGAATAATGCTCTATTCTAAATTAATCACTCAGAAAGTATATGCTAATCACAAAATTTAAATCAGCTAATCATGGCAGTGTATTCGGACATGGGTGTTGTGCTCATCTATAAATTGCTAATATGCCACATGTATAGGCTACCCTTCATACATATATCTTCAATAGATTTTTCGTAATTTTAAGGCTGATGTTCTTCGAAGTAAATAAAGTCTTCTTACTATTAAACAACTATTTTTGCTTAACAAATTCGTCAAATACTATACATAGTATAATGTTCAAAATAATAATTATACCTATAACACTATTTTTGCGGTTTTAACACTGAGCCGCAAAAACACACACAGGTAAATAATAAATTGTTGCGGGTATAAATTGTGTTTTCAAGGGGGGTGATTAGGGAGTTGTCACTCCCCCCCCGAAACGCCTTCGAAATTTAAAAAAAAAAAATACTAATAGTTTTAAAAAAGAATAAAGTGTTATTACACTTAACAGTTTATACAAATAATAAAAATTAACAATATAAAAGTCCAGTCCAAGTGATGTTATATTGAAAAATATGACTAACTTCGGACTAAATTCTAAATATTTAACTGGGCAAAGGTACGATGGAGCGGCAACAATGAGTGGCAGATATAATGGTGTACAAAAATGTATTCGTGAAGAACATCATCTAGTGCCTTTCATTTACATTGCAGTGTGCATTGTTTAAATTTAGTGTAAGCACTTTATTCGGTTATCCAAAAAGGCAAAGTATTTTACAAAGTAGTATGATTCGGAGGCTTCTGGGCCAGGAGCAGGAGCCATACATACATGGTCGCCGTACCATGTGCTATACTTTTACATGACCGCCCGAATTGTCCACCACGTGATTGGCATACCCCCTCCTCTACCGCCACAACATATTAACCGCCGTCACCGTTATCACTTTTATCACGGTTATACCTACTGTTACAACTCTTATCACAAGTTATACCTATCGTTACCCCATTTATCTTATCTCGTTATCACAAGTTATACCTACTCTTACCACGGTTTTATACTACGGTTAAATTTATCGTTATAATTATCACGGTTATACCTACCGTTACACCAAGCTTATATAATTTCTTATCTTCCCCGTCTGCGTTACATAATATACATTTACCGACGCCACACACATACACACATATATACAATTTCCGTTATATGCGTATTATAACACAGCGGGTTCCTTTCCGAGAATCTAGAACGAAAAACTGTATATATAATTATACCCAGTTTAAATAGTTTAATAGTTTGTATAGTTTTTGCCCAACACCACTTCTTCCATAAACTTGTGCATCGTGCAATGATCCAGACCAGCCAGCGTATACATCATAATACATCAGTAAACATATATCGTGAATCCACAATACACTTGTTTAATAATAGAAAATAGCAAATTAGAAATATTACTAATTACAACATGTATTGAGGGTAGTAGTTTTTTATATAGCACATATTTTTAAACCTGTAAAACTACTGAAGCTACTTGTTTTCGGTTTACAAACATAGTACCATCTAGTTTTGACAATTTTTGCCGGCCAACCCAAGGTGCAAGAATGTTAATGTGAAACCCATCAATAGCTCCAATTACATTAGGTAATGATCCTGGTCTTAATCAGTTAAACTTTTCAATAGTTTCAATAGCTTTTTGTCCAATAGGCTATTTAATAAATTTATAAGAAATTTTTTTTATGTTTGTTAAAATACCTTTAATTATTGAATGACTTGTGCATTCAGCAACATACATTTTTTAGCTAACTGCCTGAAAGAAAATTGTAGATAAAAAATAGTACAATATATAATTCTTTTTTAACTATCTACTTATTAAAACACACAAAAAGTTATTCTGAATTGATAACCTATTATTAACTAGTCATTTTTTTTCACCTATGTGTTTTACAGCTTGCCATAAACCGTAGAAATATTAAAATTTGTTTTTCCACTATCTCATTTGTACTTATATGGGATATACCTAGGTAATAAATGTACTATAAGTACATAAATATTTAAAAATAAATTAAATTAATACAAATCACATGTAAACCTCAACACTAGTACAGGTTAATCTAAAATGATATTTGAAGTCAACACTATTCATACAAGAAACACTGGTTTTCGCAAAATCAGAAATTTTATTTCGATGCTCCTTTTTTGTATTCAGAATAAGTAAGTCATCAGAATCTTCAATACCATTAATAACTAAAAAATAGATATAATCAATATTAATTAAAGACTATTTTTTAAATATGTACATTGTATATACTAAAACAATGTGGAAGAATAGCTGCAGATATACATTTGACAGTCTTATTATTTTTAAGAATATATTTGTTGAATAAAAGTTACATTTTATTATTATTTAAATTCATTTTTATTTGTTTTAATTAGTATTTGAATAATTAATATTCAATTTAACAAAAAAATGACAAGAATGAAAACTAAGTAGGAGAAATAATTGTACTTGACCAAGTTGTATAACACCAATGGGATATACATTAAAATCACATATAATTGTATACAATTTTCGCTATGTAACTAATGCTTATAAAGCATATAAAACATAATAATCAATCAAAATAGTATAGAAAATGTTAAGTATGTCATAACTTTTAAAATGATTCTTTTAATTAATTTTTTAAAAACAACTACTAAATTTCACATATTATATTAATATTGAATTAATCTGTTATTAATGTAAAATATTATTATTATTTTTAATAATTAAACATTTAGTTCTCTAGTAGTAAAACACTATTCTACGCAACACATATTACTTGAATGATTTTTTTCACATTGTACTTAAATAACAGCGATAAATTACTTAAATTAACCATTCAATCACAAGTTATTTGGTATGTATCTAACCCAAGCTCTGTTTGTGAGCATTCCACCCACAACCCCAAAGAACATTATTCTTAGATAGAACCATTGGATGCCTAACTTCTAAACTCACTTGTTCAATATCTGTTTCTTCTGGCCAATTATTCAATACTGGTTCCAGCGTTATTATTATATTTTTTTATCTGTAAAAATGTTATAAATAGAACAATTTATTTTTATTTTTCAAAAATATGTTAAAACACACAACATTATATTTCACCTGTTTCAACGTATTTTCCAGTACATTAACTAGTGCCGTAAACCAATAAAACATATAAAATTAAATTATTTATCATTTTATTAGTAACAGTTTCTTACGGTAAAATAAAATAATCTAAAAATAGTCTGATTAGAATGTTTAATACATTGAATGAATACCACAACAAGTTTATTTATCAATTATTTTCATGCAGATTGAAATTAAGATTCTTTAATTGTTAAATAATTTTTAACAAAAGATTAATTCATAAGATATTTTACCTGGAGAGTTTGAAATCCCTAGTTATCCAGAATAATTCCAACCCCATATGTAGAGATCATTATACTTAGTTATTGCAGCTGAATGTCATCCACCAGCAAAAGTATTAATAATCTTCTTCAACTTTAGATTTTGCATCATATATTTTAGATGGGATTGAAAAAAATTTCTGAAATTAATAATTACAGCATAATAAGTTGCTATAAAGTGTCAATAATTAAGTACTGTTATAAGTAACTGCTAAATATATAGTATATATTTTTTGTGTTTCCAAAGTCAAACCATGAATAAACAAACATTTCTATATAAAACAATCGCAATTAATTAATACTTTATAAAAATATAAGGTTGTTTTCCCACATCAGTGTTTAATTATTTCTGACTAATGCAACCCCTGGATTGAGAAACACTGATATACAATGACAAGTTGCAGAGTAATAATATGTATAGAAAATATTTAAAATTAAACAAAACACCATACTAGATACATATTTTAATAAACAAAATAAATTGAACTTTTAAATTTATTATCCATTGAAACGTTGTTAGATATCTTCTATTGAAATATGTATATTATTACACAAAGATGTTTTGATAAAAATAATATTAATATTATTAAATTATAGCAAGTTTATTTATTATTTTTACAAGGACCACCAATTATGGCACTGAGTTACAAACTTTTCTAATAAATTACAAAAATGTTTGATAAAAAATAATGTACACGTAAATTTACAGCATAAATTTATCATTGAGATTTTTAGTACCGGTCACCCGTGGTTTACCCCTTTATACCTGATTTTTTTGTCCATAAAGTACGACTTATAATGAATCTCCTGTTAAATTTTCAAGCATTTCTGTTTGGTCTAATAATATTTTTCATAGATAAAATACCAAATCTACTGAATAAAAATAACATAAAACTCTCAAAATTAAAATGTCTAAAATGTTTTTAAAATTGTCCCAACTATAGAAATGACAATCACAAGTTTTCTGCTCAAATTCCAAATCTTTACGATTATTTTTAACTGAATCACAACAAAATTAAAAATAACACATTTCGTAAATTTTCACATTTTTTTTCTTAATTATTATGCTTAGAAAATCAAATACGACTTCCCTAAAATATTACCCAGATAAAATTTCCTTTCAGAAATTAAACAACACTTGATAATCAGAGCAAGATTTGTCAGAAGAGTTATTTACAGATAAAAAAAAAATAAGAAAAAAAAAACATCATTATAAAAACAGTACATTTCTTGCTTCTCTTAAATTCTTAAGCTTTAAAAATTATTAGAAAATAATTAAATTGAGATACAATTGAAAATTATATGATATGAAAACAATCAGTTATGTTAGGTATATACATGATGAGAGATTGGGTCTAGTAGAAGTTTAAGACCAGGGTAGCCGACCCAAAATAGTTGGAATGAAGGTGAAAGAAAAACTAATTTCAAAAGTTGTAATATCAAATAAATAAAATATGTACACTGTATTTAATCTACTTTACCCACTTGAATCTGGGTATAATACAATGCGCAGACCTTCTACTTTACCGGTAACGTACAAGTAATACATTAGACAGATAGATAGATAGATATCTACATCATACTCTGTATATAAAACTTTAATTTAATATTAATATAAAATAATAGAATTATAAAATACTTACAGTTTTGAAAGAATCACAGCCTGTTTTTTAATACTTCACAACTGACTAATCTTTTGTTAACCAGGCCACTGATATAAATTTGTCCAAAAACATAAATTAAATAAGTACAATTTAAAAAGTGTTGAAAAAAAAATGGTTCATAAAAATTTAATACTTGTTAAAACCGAAGCAGAACTCCAAAAAATCAACTTGTTGAACTTCTTTATTATATCTTGTAGTGCCATAAATATGAAAGCCCAAACTGGTAAATGGTTTGCTATTCAATTGATTAAACCCATTGAATCCACACAAATACATAACCATTATGTTGTTTAAATATGTGTCTTTATATGTAACATATTGTAAATATCACAATATAACAAAACAAGAAATAACTTACTTATTTTACAAAAAAAAAATTCATTGTTTATATTGAAGCATTTTGTTTAAATTTGTTTAGGTTTTTCTTTTTTTTTTTGTGGGGTATATACACATATTTATATATATATATTATACATACATTTTTCTTATTATTTGAAGATTTTTGTCATATAAATACAAGGTTGATTAGGGAACTAGAGGATTTAGAAACCTTAATTCTTTGTTATTATTTCCACCTTCAATCCAGTATTTATTTGATAATGGACTATTCAGAGAATCTTCAGATTCTGTTTTGGAATGACTAGATGTAGTTGATAATAAAGATTTTTTTTCACTACTTTTATTTTCATTTGTTATTGAACAATTTTCTTCTTCAGTTGATGCCTGACTTTTTGTTTGGTTATCATTTATTTTGTTTTCAGATGTTTGACTTTTTTGAGATTCTAAAAGTCTTAAAATTATATCCTGTTTTTTATCTGACAATGAAGTTTTCCTTTTATTGGTATCAATTTCATTTTTAGCGCTACGTTTTCTAGAGTTAGGCCTCTTTTGCAGTTCTTCAGATTCCGATATGGAATTTTTACCTTCAGTCAATAACCAAGCAATAATTTTACTTCCAACATTTTTTGGAATTGCCTTTTCATTTTTCAATTCACAAGGTACATACACTTTTAAATCTTTTCGTTTTAAATGATTAACTTGAATATCCATTCCTTGTCTAAAAATAGAATGAGCTCTAGCTTTTAATAAAATGCAAAAGTCTCGTATATGTGTGCTACAGTCTAAATGTATGATCTTGCCATTAGATTTTGCTATTTCAAGGCCAATAAACCAAACTGACGACGGCCTGCCTTGTGAAATTTCAGCAGGTAGTAAAAATTGATCAGGATTTAAATGAGATCTTCTGACACAAGTAATTTCTTCTAAAGAAGAGGTTAAGAAACGAAGTTTCGATTCGACTAAACCTCTCCATTCAAATAAATCTTCATCACAGTTTGCAAATACAGTTATACTTAAGAAATATTTATACTTTGTGAAAAACTTTGATGGTTGAAAAAGTTTTGACCAACTAGATTCTCCAGTTAAAATTTCTCCCATTATGTCTAAACTAGTTTTAAATTCCTCTTGAATAATTTTTAATGTAGAATTAGAAACATTAAAAGTTGAATTTTGTTGAGGGTAAACTGGAGTTATAATAGGCATAACGTGAGTTCGATCTAACATGTTTACTCTGGGGTCCCAAACTGGATATCCAAGATCCAAATAATACGATGGTTTTAACAAAACTGGTTGAGGCCATTGCCATTTAGAAAATATTAAAAAGAATTTGTGTATCAAGGTGGCAGGTACTGCATTGGGATACAATTGACATATTCTTGCTACTAACATTGCCCACGAAACACCACCAAGGTATCCTAAAGCGTTTGAATAAACTCTTTTGCGTTTAGCCCACAATTTGATGGCAATTAATGTTTTCTTGAATGATTCTCGATTTGGAACTAATCGTAAAATTGAATCTGTGACTCGATAACCATTTAAACTTCGTACACATTTAGGATTCAAATTTCTCAGTAAATCATCTTGTTGCAAATCAGTATCTTCGTGTACTTCTTTTAAAGCGAGGCGTGCAAACAACATATCAATTTCAATTCCTTGTATTATCATTTTAATTACAGGAACAAAAGCTTCTTCAACTGCTCGCACATAGTTTATAGTAGGGTTTTCTTTCAATTTATTATAAAACGTCGAAAAATAATCTGCTCTGGTTATATGTCTAGGAACAATAATGATGGCATCAATATCAGTACCTTTATGGTAAACTCCAAGGTGATATGACCCAAACGTGCACACTAATCCTCCAACATTGTCAGCAGTAATTTCTAGTAAATTTCTTTCCATACTTACTTCAAGTATCCATTCTTTAGCCAAATTATTTAACACAGATAAAACTTCTAGCCTTTGAGATAAATCGTCATTAGTAGTAATAACTTTTTCTTTTGACAGAGCTTCATCTAATGATTTTGTTAATTGTATGTCAATATCTGTTGGAGGTGCATCACTAATAACTGATGTCATTCCAAACATTTTAAGGGGATTTTATGAAGTTTAATCAAAAATTAAAATATTCTTAAGAAGTTTAACACAGTTATTAATGTAGCAACTACTATTTAAAATATATAAAGTCAATGTTTTTTTTTAATTCATATTATTTAATACAAATTTCAAATTGGTAAAAAATTATGGAAGTGGCTATTCAGCGTCCGACGCGTATCTACCATCTACTTATTTCCGCGTCCTATGCTGCGATTTGTCCAAATATTGATTAACAAATTTTTATCTCATCACTGACTTTATTACCATATTGTGGCGAAAACAAGATTAAATGTATACTGGTTACCCAAACGCCCATACAAGCCTTTAACAGCTGATTAACTTAGTGCGCTCTCTGTCCGTAAGAATGTTATATTACAATATCATGTGAAATTATTATATTCTCGCCTAATTTAAAAGCACACAACCATTACGATCACAACTAAAGATACAATCATATGCGAACCTAGGGCGTAATAATTATTTTTATAGGGCTTTATAAAAACATATTTATGTACGTTCTTATATTATAATATCTAAGTATTTTTCTAATATATTTACCTACTAGAATATTTGATTAGAACAGTGTTTGGATTAAGGCATGATTTTGGATCGTTAATGCTAACGCATTCATAAACATATCTCTTTAGAAATGATCTGAACAAATATATTTTTTCAAAGCTTTCGGACTTAAACTAGCTAAGCATATTTCCTTAAATAATTTTAATACGTCAATTTATAAGTACTTAATATTATAATTTAATGAAAATTAAAAAATTACTTACCCGAATTAATTATCCACTCTCTTGATGCTTTTATATTATAAAATATTATGTTCTAATTTATATTATATTAAATTGTTTACATTTAGGATGTTATTAAAATAACAAACGAGCAAAATTTTGATATATTTATAAATATAATTTTTACAGATATCTTGTTGTTGGACAATAATGATGGTAATAATGGTAGGTGACTTATATGAACCTTTCTATAAGAATTCACAACTTATTTTAAATTAAAATGTCACAAATGTCATTAGATGCGAGTGATTGAACTTACAGTGATAATACTACACATTCTAGTTTTAGTGATATTAATAGTATACTGAACATTTGAAAACATGACTGAAAATAAAGTTTTTGATGCTAAAATAAATATAAATCATGTAAGTGAAACTAATATTCTATTGGAATTTTAATTCTTTTTTTCTACTGAATATGCTTTATTTCTTATAAGAAAGAATTGAAACATTTTACTCCTAATGGAGGAAAACTACGGGAAAAGTATTATAATTTATTGAAATACACAAGGAACAACGTTACTTCTCCAAGTGATAAAATTACCCCAGTTGTATTAACTATTAATGATAAAGACACTTTGCAATTTAAATTAAAACTATATCATTTTTGAAAGAATATAAATTATTTTAGATTATAAAGAACATTTATTATGGCTTAAAAATAACATAGGTCTATGGGCAATAAATTGTTAAAAAAGGGTATGATACATATTTCAGGTTCCATACCAAAATACTTTAGAACATTGATTATAGAATAGACAGATAGCCCATGAAATATTAATATTTGGCGACTATAAAAAGGATGCCACCGCTATGAAGTGCTAGTGTAGTTTAGGATGCGAGCAGGTGGTACCCCCATCATAGAATGATTTATGGTACGGGAGGTAACTTATCGCGCGTTATTACAGTACTAATAATAGAATATTTGTTTAAATAAATTGGAATACAATTGTTTATTATCATTGTATTTCGTATTATTTTTGTAATTCGTTGAGTCTCACAACTCATAGGCGATGCTGGTTTTTGATTGCGATTACACGTCTATACAACATATTAATATAATATTATTATGATTTGTATTTAGAATAATATTATTACATAAATATAATAACGATTAATTTGAAAATATCTGGTAATAATTGTCAATATGTAAATTTTGGTAAGTCGAGGAAAATTTTTCCAAATTTACGAAAGTATCGTTTTCCAAGTGACGAGAGAAGAGGAATGTGGATAATACATTCGGGTAAGTAAATCATTAAACGTTTTATATTGAAGAAAAATATAATGCTACATTAGTTCAATAAAATTTTATGTAGTTTTTATTATAATTATTATTCAAAATGTATTCTACAATTTTTGTGGCGGGAATGCAAGTTTATTTTCAATTGAACCGGAAAAACTCCCGCAATAGGTACATTTGTCAAGAGCATTTTACACCTGAGAGCTTTACAAATTCTTTGACTAATAACCGTCTAATAAACAAATCTATTCCACATAAATGTAAATCTGAATCTGAGGAACACTCACCTACATCTACCTCATCGACTTAGACCAAAATTATAAATCTGTAGAGGAATATATTCCAATGTCAACTCCAACTACACGTATAAAATCAGACATAGTATAATTAGTTTTCCCGAGCCCCCTTTACTGTTTTCTACTCCTAACAAAAATAAAATTAATATTATAATACAAATGCCTAGCTCAAATTTAAAAAGTAAATGTGATTCAATTAATACATCTAGAAAATTAAATTTAAAACATAAATTAAAACAAAAAATAAAAATAATTCATAGTAAAATATCTCACATTTCTAAATTGAAAAAAAGAAGTAACAGTTTTAATACACATAATAATTTTAAAAACTCAATATATACACATAATTTCTCATCGTAAAATTCCAAGTCAATTGTGACAATGCAACTAAAAGATAGACGTCGTCCATGGACATAAAATTTAAAAAATTAGCTTTAAACTTATATTATAAATCACTAACAGCATATAAATTTGTACGTATATGAATATTATAAAATTACAATTTACTGATCATGTCGATAATACAATTCATATTAAATATTATTATAAATTTAAATGCTATTTATATTGTAGAATATTATGGTTTTTAATGATTTATATGAACAACGTCACCACACTTGCAAATTCGGTTCACAGAACATTGTTGTTTATCGACTCATGTACACGTCCGATTTTTTGACGTAAAATGTCTGAAATTTAAAACGTTTACATCGAGCTATTTATCGGTAAAGTAAAAAATTATAAGGAAATCTGGAAAATCGCGGATGAAAACTACCATAATCGGACGAAAAGAAGTGTTTGGATGGATATTTGTCGGATGTTTTGAATGGGTGTACCCAGTAATAATTAATGTTTAATACTGAGAAGAATTGATAAGAAACACATTGGATGAAATTACACATGGAGTAAACTACACTTTTAATATTAATTTCGTTCTCAAATTCATTCAATATTATTATTTACTACTATTATTTCTAGATAATAAATCTGCAATATGCATGTCTTTTCCTGGCAGGTGATTAATTTCTACACCATAAATCAAAGTTTTATCTTTTGCACCTATTTGATATTACTTAAGTAAAATTATTTTTAAAAATGTACGTTAGTGGTAATCTGTCCAGACTTTAGTATGATAGCCATATATATAATTATGGAATTTACGACCAGAAAAACTATGCTCAACATCTCTTTGTCAATCTACAGGTACTGTTTCTCGGACTCCTAATGGTAGGTACATAAAATGGACGGGCTTTTAGATGGTGTTGAAACCATAGCTGTGGTATAATAAGCGCTGTATAAACATAAAACAATAAAAAAAAAAAAATCACTAAAAGACAATATTGTGTACACCCAATTAATCTAAAAGACTTAAGGACAATTTATTGTAAATTATATGGCACTGCGATCATACCCTGAAGAGTATAAAATAGTCTGTTTATAGGTACTTGTAAATATTCAAATTGCGTGTCAATAAAATTAAAATATTTAACAAAGTAGCGCATCAATACACGTGTAAATCACAAACAGAAATGCAGAACCGCCGCGGTTAGCACGCTACGTGTAAGCAGCTATAGTCTGTTTCACGAGATAACGAGCCGCTTGTGCACATGTTTACCCCTCCACATAACTTGATTTCAGCGAAGGCAGCCGATTGTCATTTCTTCCGTCGTCGGTTTTTGAGTATACACCGCTAGGATATTTTGTAGAAATTCAAATGTTATTATTATCAGACATCGCGCATCGCACGTTTTTTTACCTTTGCTGTTTTATAAACTGTTGATGATTTTTCAAATCGTAAACTATCGTATATACAAGTACCTTCTATAATAATCCAGACTTTGTTTTAATAAAATATAGGTACCTATATAAAAATAATTTAAACAAAATATGGATATCTACGTAAACCTATTTACCTACGTAAAATGTCGTATGTAAAATAAATATATAAAACAAACGCTTACCTTTCCTTTTGGGTTTCTTTTGACTGGAGAAACATCATACACTGACTCGCCGTCACTCGTTATAAAATAATTAAAAAAACTGAGAAAAAAAGTAAAAATTACCAAACGGTACAAAAAAAGTAAACGCTGGCGATAAACAGTGGACTATCGACAGTCAACAGTGCATTATTTGAAACGCAGTGTACATCACCTGCACCACTTCTGCGGTCGCCGTTGCAGCGCTGTCGATAGATCCGGGAGGGGATAAATGGATAGTGTTGCGGCGTGGGGATGCGCTGTGGCGATTCGGTTTGGTCGGAGAGCGGCCCGTTCTCTCGTGAAACAGATTATACACCGGCCACGCGCGAAGAATACAAAAATATTATCGCCGCGGCCAGTCGTTCAATATTGTGACTGCAGTCGCCCTGTTTAATAGGTACCTCTTTTGCGACAATACATATTTATTAATGATGTAATTTGTTGCGACGGGTAAATCACGATTGCATACGAAATTTTAAGCGTCATACCACACGAGTGGTAGAGAGTAATAATTCATAATACACACCGTAAAATTCTTTAAGTACTCGTAAACGACATTTGTCGATAACAGCTCATGGAGTCACAGAATACCGCTACTGTGGTCGTACTTACCATATGATTTTTTTTTTTTCGAATACAAATATTAAGTAGTAAATCGTTATGAAACTGTGGTTATGCCTACCATATATTTTATTTTTTTTATACAAATATTATTAGGTAGGTATCTGGTACTTCGTTTTTTAGCACCACTTCGTGGGTTACACTGACCGGGGCAGGAGCCGAGACCGTACGTTGACGGGTCACGGGCAAATACTCACCAAACTTACGCCAGCAAAATATCCGGGGAGACGTACGGCATATCGAAAGATGCGAAAATATAATCGCCGAAGAAGCCGGTCGCACAAATACAACAAAAAAAAAAAAACCAAGTGCACGAGCCGGAATATTTTCTAGCTATTCGATTAGATTCATACTATTAACCGTTACGGATAGGTAACGAATGATGACGCGTACGAATATAAAATCGTACAGGTACATCATAACAGCAAACTCACGCCGGTTTTGCAGAACCGCTTTGGGGTTACCGACCGGGGGAGGGGCCTGGCTTCGTTCATTGACGGGCCACGGACAATTACGCGCAAAAATTGCACCGACAAAATGTCAGGCGACGAAAATATCAAGACACAGAATCATAAACGTAGAGACCGGTCGCACTAAATGAACAAAAAAAAAACCACATGCGCGCCCCGGCCGGAACAAGTACCTCGGACCTCGAGACACATATATGGTAATTACTTGGTTCGGTGTGCAAAACTGCCAGTGACTGAAAGACAAAATTACCGCCGTCCGCACACGTTATTATTATTAACATAGGAAACCGAACTATCGTAGAGAGAAAATAATATGGCCGGACGAGCGGAGCTGATGAACGTTCCGCGGCTTCGAGCAAAAGAGAATATAATAGAGGTGAGTAGTTCGTGAGTGAGTCGACTCTTTTAGGTGAACTGAATGAATTGATTCAGTGTGGTATAGTTCAGTGACTCAGTGCTACCACTGGTTCTAAACAATGATTCACGAATCGGCTGATCCAATACAATTCACGAATCACGGATGTGTGTCATCAGTCCGACAATTCGCCTATACTGCCTATTATGCCACAATATACATAATATGAAATTCTATTATTATGTAATGACAAGTGATGTTATGACGTTATGTTATGATAAATTGAATAAGTAGGTATGTCAGCAATTTGTGATGGCAGTGATATTAAAACGTAAAATGCATAGATATTAGATAATAGATGATATAAATGTATAATAGTTTTATGTAGTACAAGCACGTTGCAATTTTTGCAACTCATTTATTAATTTAATACATTTTACGTTAGTGTTTGTTTGGAATAAGTTTCTTTTTTCATGTTTGACAAAACAATATTACCGGAAGCATGAGAAATTTAAGATATTTAATACATTATACAATAGGTATTAAGATACCTAAGTAAATGCATATTTTTATTGAGTAGGTACCTACATTTTTTTTAAATGTATTTTTGTTATTTATTTTATAGGAGATATGTCCATATAATGTTTCATTGTTTTCAAATCAAGGAAATATAATTAAATAATAGGTACATATAAAAATATCGAAAGCACACTATTTTGAATTAAAGTTTATAAAGATTATTTTTTCGAAATTTTTACTACTTGACCTACTTCTTTTTTCTGTCATTATTTGCCCTGCCTTAGAAAATATTCTTTCATACGGAACTGATTTTGCAAGTACACAAAGACATTTTTTCATAAGTTCAAATAAACATGGATAAAAATTTTGATTGTACTTTCACCATTTCAAAGGACTTTCATGCCTTGGTATTAATCCTTCTTGAAGGTACTTGTCAATTTCAACAATAGCTGCAGAAGTTGGATTTATAAATCTTAACTGACTACTTACCACTTCATCAAATTCATTTCAAATAGAATCTCCGCCCAAAATTGAAGTTTGATATGGTATAACCGGTTGTATATTATTTAAATTTCCAATATTTACTACAGTAGCTTTACTAATTAATGTTTTTTATTCCTTTAGAAAATGAACTGGTGTTGAAGAATCCATATTTTTTAAATCTCGGATCGAGTATTGTAGTTTCAGCATAAATTTGTATTTTTTCAAGTGTTCCAAATCTCTGTCCTACTTGTTGTTTTAATGTGTGTACCATACTTGTTGATACACAATGCTCTATCGCCAGCTTTGTTTAATATCGCATTAGAATCAGTTATACGAAAGGTACTAATCCAAGCCAAAGGAATAAAAATGAACAACAATAACGATTTAACCATAGTAGCTTTCCCTGACAATATAGTCCTTATAGCCGAAACAGAAAACGAACTGAGAAATACAACTAGCATCCTATTAAGTGAAGGTAAAGAGATTGGTCTGAAGATAAATAAGTCAAAAACAAAGTATATTTTACTTTCGAGACAAAATCACAATATTAATTATTTAAAAGTTGATGATTACAAATTTGAAAGGGTACAGAGCTTCAAGTACCTAGGCGCAGAGATCAATGAATATGCTAATAGCCACGAAGAAGTTAAAAAACGACTTATGGCAGCAAATAGATACTATTATAGTTTAATGCCACTATTCAAATCAAGATTACTATCAATAAAATCTAAAATAACGTTATACTAAGTCATAGTCAAACCGGTTGCTCTGTATGCGTGTGGTACACGGGCCACAACAAACTCGAACAAAAGAAAGTTAGGAGTGTTTGATAGAAAGATATTAAGGAAAATCTTCGGTCCAAAGAGAAATAATGATGGAAAGTATGAGGTAAGAGGCAACGGAGAATTGGATGGTCTCTATAAGGAACCTACCATTAGTAGGTAATAACAATATGTTATTGCGGCGATGGGCCTTAAAGGCCTGTAAAAGCCCAGAAGAAAAAGGTCATATTTGTTAGTTGAGATGAATTATATATAGAGAGTTGTGTATCCAAGTATGTACAATGTTTAAAAAACGCTCGACTAAATACAACAGATTTTTCACTACTTATTTCTACAGTAATTTCCTTAAAATAATTTAAAATCTCACATGACTTGAAAATAATGTACCAGTCTTCATTGGTCTCAAGTAAATATTATAATTGCACTCTATTAAGACCGAAGAAAGAGGAACTTTAAGATTGTTAATTCGTTGGAATATTTCATACTTTGAGTTCCATTGTGTAATGACATCCTAAATGAGCATTAAAAGTGGTGTTAATCCTAATTGCTCTTGCATGGTTCTAAGGTTTTCCGCTGCCTGTGGACTTCTCTTAAAATGGCCAACAATCCCTCTTACTTTTTTCCTAGTTTCAAGTATTGATTTAAGAGCTGTTTGTACTCCTAAATTCAAACTATGGGTAAAGCAACCTTCATGTTTCCATCTACATAAATTNGCAATTTTATTTTCTAAGCCCCATTTCTTTATAATAGCCAATAAATTGTTTTTCAAATTTTCTGAAGAATGTGATTCAGAATTTTTAAAACAAGAAAAAAGATATGACTTTAATTCGCATTCATTATCGATAAAATGACATGTAACAGCAATATAATTTGAATTTTTAATAGAAGTCCAACTATCAGTGGTAATACTAACATATTTTGCATGTTCTTGTATGTCTTGTTTCACTTGTTCATATACCGCATTATACATTACAGGTAATAATGATTTTGTCAGTTTTTCTCGACGGAAGTGTGTACCCGGGATTTAGCAAATTTAAAAGCTTCACAAACTCTGTCTACAACATTACTGAAAGGATAATACTCTTTCACGATCATTTTCAGAACTTGCTGATCTATAATTTTAGCCTACTGGTTTAAATAAATATTGAGTAATGGAATTGTTCACAACTCTAGAACTTTGAAGACTATTATTTAATAGACATTCAATTTATGGAATTTGTGAAGATATTACAGTTTGATATACCACAAAATTATTTGTAGAAACAGTTGTATTCTAAAAATATATAATATGTATTATTTAGAAAAATAATTATTTAGTAATTTTTTAATAGAAATTAATAAAAATAATTCTAAAAATGTTTAAATTATAATATAACAACCAAAATAAATCTGATAGTTTTTTAAAATTATACTATTTTTCTAAAATATTTTTTAATTTTACTTACAGTAGTAGAGGTTGATGGAGCATTTGGGTCGTCAATGGTCTCTTCTAATACATGCACATTTCTATTGAATATGTTAACAGTGGGATATTTAGACTTCATATGTCTTATTAAGTTGGATGTTGAAGAACGATTATTTTTTAATTTTATACGACAAAGACCACATTTAACATTAATGTTATCTTGGTCAAGTTGAAAATAATCCCAAATCACACTAGACTTTTACTGATTTTTTAATAATGATAAATTAAATAATAATAAAGTTATAATAATAATTTTAAAAAGAAATTCTGAATTATAAGTGAACAAAAAGGTTATAGTTTTTAAATACTTTGAGCACAGTAATAGTAAATTAGTGATTAACAAATAAACTTATAGTTTCAATCATTGAAAAGAGATTAATATTAGGATACAATAATGATATGTACCCTAAATTAAAGAAAAAAATCCAAAATTGTATTATTATTGTGTATTACAGTTTTTCATACATAGACATAATTGAAAATAATAAACATTACAACAAAATTAGAAGCTGATACTAAGCTATGAGTATCACCACAGTATACTTGTACAAGTTCATCGTTAACAGATTCATTAAAGTGGTGATGGCAATGGTAATATTAAAACAATTTCTTTGGATTTCAATTGTTTATTCCATATCTGACAGCTTATTGTGAATGATGTATCTTTTAATATTTCATTGTGTTTGCTGTTAACCCTAACAATTTTTCATTTATTAGTTCAAAAATATATAAAAATTGTATAGCTAAATGTACATAGATATTCACATAAATATCCTTATAGCTATATTTATGGTTTTCATCGTACACAAGTATGACTTAGGTGGATTAATAAACTAGGCAATTTAAACTTTAAGAATTGTCAGTGGAGAATTGTTAATTCTCGGGAAAAAAATAGCTCATACTATCTATCAATGATAAAGAATTCAATGAAATAGAAAAAAAGTAATTGACCCAGCTTGGTAAAGCTTGGTAAAAAAATCTAAAGCGCAGGAATATTTTAGCTTGGCTTTGTTGAAGAAAAGTGGACTTGTAGATTTTTTTTTTATAAACTGTATAGTGAATAAAAAAACGGCTTAATCTTTTTATCTTTGAAGCGTTCATCAACATTAATAAACTTACCAAAATGCAATAAGAAAAAGAAAACAGAAAACTGAATGTGGAAAAATGTTTTCAATGGTACAAATTATGGTTTTATATAGTTACATCATAATGTGCCTGTGAAAATTTTAAAGAAAATTAAATTTGACAATGTAAATAAACGATAACGTATAATTATATTAAATGATAACAAAATAATACAGATATAAAGAATTTTAAAGAGTTTATTCTACTTAATATTTAATATCTGGATTATTTGGTCATTGAGATGGATAAAAATATACTATATTCTAATATACTTGTATACAGGTATAATAAATTTATATATTTTTGTCTATTTTAGTTTATTTGAGATAGAATATTGTTATCTTTCAGTGGTCTATAGTATCATATGATCAAAATATTCTTATCAATCTAGTGAATTGTCAGTTTTCGTTTAAAATATTTTGTTTATATTAATTAACAATCAAAAACTTTGTGTCCACTGTCCTTAAAATGACATTTTTTTTTTACTTTTTGTAAATAAACTATAACATATCTAGTGTGTAAATGTTATTAGTTGATATGAAACGTTGTTAAATTTTGAAATTATAATTGTCCATTTCATAATATTATGGCTGAAGAAGTAGAAAATTTTTTTGGAGTTTACCTGTTATATTGTTTAAACCCAAAATCTAAAGGAAAAACTTATATAGGTTATACAAAAGATCCCAATCGTCGTATAAAACAACATAACAAAGGTGTAAAAAGCGGTGGAGCCAAAAAAACCAGCACTCGAGGACCATGGTATAACAATTGTCTACCAATTATAATATAATATAGTTAATTGTAAAAATATGGCATTTACTATTTTAATACTAACCAATGATTTTTATAGGGAAATGGTTCTGATAGTCCACGGTTTTCCTAATGATATATCAGCACTTAGGGTAAGATACAATTTTATGAATATTAAGATACAATGTCAGTTTAGGCACGTCTTCAAGGGGAAGGGGGAGGTGAACCTCCTTCATAAAAATTTTTAATGTATACAAATTACTCTAATTGTCAACAAAATAATAACGATAAAAATTTTAATTTACCACTGTCAATAGAAAAAACTGGCATAGATAGCTTTATGAGTCATACACGTCTCTAAGGCGAAAAATACGTCTTTAGTAATTATTTATTTAAAAAGTAGATTCTCTTCCTCCTCGAAAACTGTCTAGAGACGGCCTTGTTTCAGATTATAAAACTAAAAAACAATTTTTCAGTTTGAATGGGCTTGGCAAAACCCTAAAACATCTAGAAGATTGAAACATGTTTCGCCAAAAGCTAGATCTGAAAAAATGTATGACTATTGTATACGTATACTTAGTGAAATGCTGAATGTTGGTCCTTGGAATCGCCTAGCCTTAAATATTCGGTGGCTGAATGAGACATATCAACTACACTTCGATGTAAGTAAATAGTAAACATTTTTAAATAATATTTATTAATAAATACAGTTAAAAACCGATTAAAAGTGTTGTTGTTTTATTTACAGATTGATAAAATTCCACCAATGCATATGTCTATAGGTACAGGACCAATTGTGTGTAAGAAAACTGTGTCATCAAATGTGTTTGAAAGTGTATTATGTGTTTTATGTGCTCGAATTTCTTCTCCAGACAGTTTATTGATTTGTGTAAATCCAAATTGTCAAGCAGTCATGCATATTCTTTGTCTTTCCCAGCGATTCTTAGGTTCATCTGATCATATTATACCTATTGATGGTGAATGTCCAGCGTGTGGCATCCGCATGCTTTGGAGTGATTTAATTCGCAAAAAAGATGGATGTTATACAAATTTAAATTCCATAAACACATAACTGAATTCATTTATTAAATTGTAATAATTAATGTATAAAACTCTATGAAAAGTGTTCCTCTTTTACCAATTTACCAACAACTGAGTACCGTTCTGTGAGACTATTACTGGATGATGACCAAATGACCATCTGCATGATATACAAAATTTGACTACGAGCTGTAACAGTTGGGTTTACATAACTGTAGCAGTCTCTTGTAAACCAGAACTGAAAAACTTATATTTTAATTAATTTTTGATATTTTTCATGTTTTATATTACTTTTAAAATATTTTTTGTATATTTTTTTATTATTGTTATAATTTTGGTTTTTTTTTATCTAAAATAAAAATAGCATATTTATCATTAAGTTTATGAAATCCATTTTTTTGTGAAAATTTAATAATTTATGTATTTGTTTTATATTAAGTTAATTATTATTTTTTAAATTAGATAAAATAATAGTAAAATGACAAGTCGATTAGTTTTATTAGATATTTAGATATGTTGTCTGCTAACAACCTAACATATAAAAATGTAACATAAAATGTTATATTGTTATATATGTTACTCATACTCTATATTACTCATTTTCTAGAGCAAGTAATTGGGGTTAGATCCTGTATCTTCCTGTGGTCCCCTCTGTAAGTAGTGTCATTAAAATGTCAACACAAAACCAAAGAGCATCAGTCCGGCAACAAGACATCAACAGACCTTCTGGTAAAATTAGAAAAAAAATTGAATGTTGATCTCTAGTTACCCTGTGGGTGATACCGTCTGACAATTTTCTCCTGCGTTTTTTTTTTTTTATTTTTTTTGATAATCCATATTATGAAAATTATGGAAAATCAAAAAGCAATTAATGCACCAAATATATAGGCGAATATTCATCAATTAAGGTCTCTTTTAAATTACAGTAAGATTTCTGGTTGAAAAGTTAATAGCATACAACAAACTACTTTGGAAGCTACCTACGTGAATATTTTGTTTAAATAAATCAAATATGATTATTGATGGATTGAATTCAAGTTCTATGCTAAAGCATTCTTCCTTAAAATAGTACACAATAATTTATTAGTTCCTGATGATTTGTTAAATAATAATGAAAACACTAATAGAATACAATACCTACCTACCTATGATTAGGTATACTGCAGAAAGCAGATGGATTGAATATTGTAGCCTGTAAGATATGACACTTGATAATACCTTTAAATATTATTACTGTTTATGGTTTAAGTGTTTAACATATTGAATTATCATTTGTAACCAAATATGTGCTAGGTAAAGAACATGCTTCGTAAATATAATTAAATACCTACGAACATATAAAGCTTATATATACCTAAAGCAAACAAACAGTATTAACTGTTAGGTAATACTGTCTCGTCTCACAGAAATTATTTTTTCAAGAAGTAAACTACACAACAATCTGTAAGTACACAATTTCTTTTTTTCATTTCGCTATACCATATACTAAAATTTGTTCGAAATACGATACTGGCCAGTAAAATTATAACAATATCGCCGACGCTTCGTATATAAATGATTATATTATTATAATATAGTATGCGGTGCACTCAGATAACCTCTTATAATAGTTGTATGAATCAGCATTGAACTCGAAAAGATAATTTCAAATCATCATTAACGTTTGGATGTGTTATGAAACCATTTTATTGCTTGATGTTCAAAATGGTCGAGGAATCATCAGACAAGCTTTTTGTATTTAACATTTAATGTTTAACCTGTACCCCAGTCTTAAGGATCAATAAGGAGATATTTAAAAATAAATACAAATCTACATTTCTGATGTAGGTATAAAATACGTTATTTTAGGTGTTTCGATTACACAACACAATAACGTTTAAACTAGCAACATAGAAAAAAAATATATATATGTATATTATCTAATGTTAAAGAAATTTAGGTTAGGTTATCTGGATAATATGCACATTGGCCATACTTAGATAAATAAAGAATATTAGACACTTGATATTTAAATCATAGTTTCGTAGATTCACCGACTATTTTGTACATTAATGGATGTATAAAATAGTTAATAAATATAGTAACTGCTGTAACTATAATTAAAAAAAAAGTATCTACGAAACCGAACATCGTTGGTCTAGCAGTAATATTTATACGCGACATACAATAATATAAAAACATAAAAGATAAGATAGCCATTTCGTTCAATAGTAACTTTACTTGACAATTTATTTATCGTTTGATTTTTATTGATCAATATTAAATTACATATATTTTATCTTGAGAGTACTCACCTAAATAAGTATACAGTTCTAACGACAGTAGTCAGTAGGTGTTCATTTAAGGTTCAAATGTGTATAGAGGAAAACTGTATGTATGAATTTATTATTATTATTATTTTACATAAGTCATGATATAACAAGTGAGGTTGAGAGTTTTAGTAAAGTAATAAAGTACCTAGGTTATTTTGTACAAATAACGGTGGCTTTGACAAGGATGTGAACCATAGAGTTAAGTGTGATTGGATAGAGTAGAGAGAAACGCCTGGTGTTTTACGACGTGGCAAGAGAATTCCAATAAAACTTAAAGGTTAGTTCTGATAAAGTAAAATGAGACTGATTATGTTGCAATTTTGGGTGGCAGACAGAGAATGAGTGAAGCAGGAATGAGAATGCTTAAGTAGATTAGTGGAGTGACGGGAGAAGATCGAATAAGGAATGAGTACATATAAGAGGGAAGCGTAGATGTAAGGTGTTACTTCGATAGTAGATAAAATTAGAGAAAATAAACTGAGATGGTTTGGGTGTGTCATAAAGAGAGAGGTATCAGAAGCAGTAAGAATTACAATGAAAATAAACGTTGGAGGAAAGAGGGGGAGAGGAAGACCGAAAATCTAAGAATGCAACCAACTACCTCATGAGAGAGCTACAAGACTGAGAATGATATGAGGATGGCGAGTGAATGCGGAGACGATATGGGGGATCGGGTCAAGTGGAAGTTTAGCTCGAGGAAGGCTGATCAATTTTAGATCAAAATAGTTGGGTTGAAGGCAAAAGAGCAAAAGATTTTATATTAACCATAACACAGTAGATTACACTTTGTCTGGATAATGTGCTCATTGGCCAATTTCGGACTTTAGCAGTAATATATACATATTATAAGGCACGTAAACAAAACAGATGTTTTTTATGTTGATTATCATAATTATCTAGTGGCTGCCTTTCTATGTAGAATTTGACCGGAATAGGTATATGGTCAAACCCGTGTTGATGGTGACGAAGGCGTGGTCAAACACACACGTTATAAACAACAACAACGAACGTTTCAATTATTCTCCACCCCTCCCGGTATACATTGTAGGTACCTATGTGACAATTAAAAAGTTTCTGTCGTCTAAAATCTACATGACTACATGCATAGGTAGTTAAAAAATACAATCGTTCACATCGATATAGATATTAATAATAGGTCTATTTTATTATTTGATTAGTAATCACGCAACAATTCATTATAATAAAACAGCGAAGTATCATCAATAAAAAAAGTTTTCCTAGGAAAATGGTTACAGGTGCAGCCACTGTTGTAGGTGGGAAATTGGATAGGCTATAGACGGGAATTCAATGTACATCTAAAAGCAACAATTAACCATTACTAATGAAAAACCGATTTCATTTTGGTTGGTAATGTTGCTTTGTCAATATTATATAGATATGTCATATTTCGGTAAAATAATTTTATATGCAGCATTACACATTTTCTTTAATAATATCTGTTTAATATCGTACCTATTTCCCTGTTCTCTCGGTTTTCCAAATATAACCTCCATAAAGGCGGGTCCACATGGGACATTATTTTGTTACGCGGCACAAAGTCAAAACATGTCGTGGCATGATCGTATCCACACGACAAGCGGCTTTTTCGCGAGAATATCATTAGTTTGTTTCGAAATGTCTACCGAGGACGATATAGTTTGTACATTCGCGTTATAATGTACTTAGAAGCGACGTAAAGATTAGCGTTCCAAAAAAAAAAAAAATGGTGGGTTTGTCCAAGTTTGAACAGCCGAAAAGTTGTGAGTGGTACACAGCTAATTATTAATTTCATAAAAGACGATCAATTAAATTATGAAATACGAGATTTGTTCCATAATTTTTTACGCATGTCAAGTTCTGATTTTAAAAATTGATTGTGCAAAGCCGAACCGATTATTATAATTAGATATTTTAAAATTCGAAGCTCAATCCCTCCCTCCCCTCCAAAAAAAAAATTCGTGTAATAAACTCGTGTTTATTGTAATTTATCAAGTCATTTGGTTGGGTCAGATTTTCTTAAATTATTTTTAATAACATCTCTGTCAACAAGAGCGCAGGTCGCGGCCGAAAATATGCAATGAGAATTTACCGATATATACATGCTTGCATAGAAATAATACTACATTATGTTCAACTTATCGTGTATTGTCGGGCGCTTCTGTTCAGGTAAAATCATTTTATTTACATAAAACCAACTAAAACTAGAACACTTGCAAACGCTTAATATTAGCTCAAAATTGCCAACAATTTTTAAACATTTTACCACGTCTAAAAAGAGCTAATCTAAATAGATATTGTGAAAATGTTGGATCAAAAATTGTATTATTTTCAACTGAATCAACAATAAAAAGAGCCGATACTGCTGATGGGTGTGCTAGCAAACAAGCAAATAACATCGCAAAACCAATATATTCCATATTTCCACCCTGTGCTCAGAATTTAAAAACAATGTTCCACACGCCACAGACACTCGTATTCGTCACATTTAAATAAATTGAATAATTCACATACCGAACGTTTACTCTTACACAAATAATTTATTATTATTGCGGTAAATTCTGTGATAGAAAAAAACCAACTGTTTATCTCCACCGCTCCTCGCCCATGCAGTTTGATAATAATATAATAATGTACGATATACGAATATTATTAACAGCACTTAATCATTCTATAATAATATTGGTTAATACCTCAAATGTTCAGCGACGATGAATCATGACCAAAAGAAAATTAGTCAATAAGCGCATGGGTATGTAAGCATTGGAAGCTTATTATATATATTATTCATACATTAGGTTGGTACCTGCATTGCAAACAATTTCATTTTTGAACACGTATATACGCGTGCCTAATGACAACATTTATATTTTTAGCGCCATTTCATATATTTTTTTTACACACTTTACATTTTGTACTGTAAACTATATGCTCCCTGCTGAGCGAGTGTAAACTGTGCTATGAGGTTGTTCTTAAAAATGAAAGGTAAGATAATGGGGAAGGTGCAGTCACTGGTGTAGGTGAGAAGTTAGGACATAGACTGGAAATTAAAGTATATCTGATCTGTAAGCAACAATAAACCATTGCTTCCGAAAAACCGATTTTCAGCTGAGTTCAGCTGATAGTGATACTTTGTCAACAATATATTTGTCGTTTTAAGTAAAATAATTAAATAGACATTATATATTTTCTTTAATAAAATTAGTTTAATATTATACCAATTTTCCTAAGATTTCCTCACGTTTTATCCCGGTTTTTCACATATTCTGGGAAAACTCCTGGGCAAATCGAAAAATTACTTCCCTAAAATATTTTCCCACGCCAATTTCCTTTCAGAAAAGGTGCTACACTTGGAAATCAGAGCAAGTCTTCTGGTAGAAAAGTTGTGCAGATAAAAAAAAAATCTTTATAAAACTCTAAGCTTTTTCGTTTCAATCACAATCTAAAATGACGATCCCTCATTGTGGCACCTAGGGGCTAGTGTCCCCCTACAATATGTCCTTTAAACATGCTTATTTAATGTGGGTAATTTAGTATTAGATTCTGAACAGAACGAGAAATTTTTTGTTTTTTTTTTCTACCAAAAGTGACAAGACTTTTTTTTATTACATTTTGGAACTAATTATAGGCAGTAATGATTTTCTAGTTCTTTTTTAGTTTAATGCAAATTAAATTGTTTGATTAAACAGAAGTGCATTTATTTTGACATTCATTATAAGTTTAAGTAGTAAAAAAAAATATAGCATAATTTAGTAGTTTTTTTTTATAAGCGTTTTAAGATAAATAAATTAAGAGGTTGAAGAAAATATTGTAAAAATTATAGCATTTTAAAATATGTTTAACCAACCTAATCAAACATTGCTGAGAATTGTGTTTTGATGAAAACGATTTATTTATTATTGCGCGCGCAGATATAAATCAAATAATTATCCTATATATTTTTTTTTTAACATCAATAATTTTGCATTGTTATTATAACACGCATAATGTGACAAATATTATTTTATATTTACTATAGAATATATAATATAACGCTATTGCAGCTTTCATAATAAAGTTTTTTTATACTCTTGTAATTTGTCAACTCTTTCTAATGAATAATAAATTAAAAACATGCCTAGTTTTGAATCACAAGATGTTTATATTATGAATATCAAATATATACATAAATATATAATATATTATTATAATATTTTCATCACAGAACAATCATGTATTTATATAATATACTTTATGTAAAAAAAAATACATATATTATATAAAACAATCACAACCGTTGAGGTCATTATAAAATGTATAGTAAGATGGTAAAATGTAGTTCACCAAACAAATAAATATTAAAACATAATTATTATAACACAATAAAACCGCAATTGGCTGAATATAAAAATAATATAATAATAATAATAAGGAAAAAATACTTTAATAAAAACTAAAAAATTTAATTTAGTACCTAGTATAAGTTTTTACATATAGTATATTCATTTGTTTAAATGACACAAAACCTCATATTGGTAAAAAAAAAGTGAGAAACTAATAACACTAGGCCTATAAATTTGTGTTGCCTTTTACCTTTATTATGTGGTGGTCAAATTAATACAAATTAAAATGTGTAAAAATTCTCATAATCGACTAGTAAACAAACTATAACAAATCACATTTTGTTTGCTTAATATTTATGAGTACATAAACAATATAAGGTGTATCGCGAGGGTTTGACAAATTTACATAAATTAATTGTAGTATTTAAAAATTGTCAAACCCCTGAAAAACACCTAAATACACATAGGGTCATATAATATAAATTATATATACAAATATTATTAGATAATTATAAATTAAACAAATTTTTTTTATTCAGTATTTTATAATCTTTAGTAATTAATATCACATCAGATTGAGTAACCATTTATGATAACATTGAATAGGTAATAGTGCAGAATAGTTTACCAATAAAAAAATGATTCAAATTCATTTAAAATAAAATATGTAAAAACTAAACGAGAACAAAATGAATAATAGACAATTATAGTATTATAGTATTCAATTGAGATAGAAAACAGACAAGACTATTGTTGTTGAGAAATATGTTTGAAAATTGTTACCCTGTTTCGTATCATGACATAAAATAAATTATGTTAAATAATATAAAATCTAACCATTGAAATATATAATATTCTCATATTTTCCAACAATTTTACACACTTAATAAGCAATAAAGGTGATTTTTTTTAGGTACTGATAATTTTCCTTCTCAAGTAGAATGTTTCAAATCTTCAGTCACTTCAACACCTTGAAAGATTCGAAATGGTAATAAAAGATATGTTTTTAGATTTTACTCATAAACATAATAATCAATAACAATATAGTACTACATAAAGATTTAAAATAATTGAGCTTCATATTATGATGTATACACAGTGAATATCTGGAGTCAATTTTTTTTTGCACTAGGTTTTTTTACCTTGTTCAAATTGAAGATTGTAATTTGGGATTTTTTTATCAGATCTTAAGGAATCTTCGACTGTCTTTTCCAACTCTGGGAACAATCTTGTGTAAATAAAATATGCTACGTCATAATTAGACCAATAAGATGTATGCGTATACAACATTGATAAATAGTTACTGGCTGACCCACCGATACTATCTCTCAAAATATAATCCAATCGATGATTCAAAGCTAGAATAATAACATCATTTTTTTTGTAATTATTTCATTTTAAATGTTATAGTAAAATAGATAATACCTTCTACTGGTGTACTATTTTTCGAAGGTGGTAATGTGTTATTTTCAAACTGATTTATATTAGTTTTATTTTCGTTGTTGCTTGACATGTTTAACCAAGTACTTAACTTACGACTAAAAGTTTCGTTTTCCTTTTTTGTATCTAAAGTTTTCGATTCAGTTGGGTTGGTGGTATCTTCGCCGCTTAAATCATTGCTGTCTATAAGTTCTAAACCAACTTCAGAATAATCCCATTTAATGCCATACGCTTGAATACCAATTGGTTTGTAACGACAATAGTCTCTAGCCACCAGTGGTTCGAACCTAAGAAAATTATATAATTATTAAATTTGTTACATTAAAACATGTCATATTATTATATTTTAAAAATTAATAGTTTTATATTTTTACCTATAAGCGACAGGATCGGTTGGATGATATATGTTATAGACTTTTTTGGCCAACCACATCGGAAACATGTCTAAATCTTCTTTGAATATTTGATTTTGGCGTAATGCCAAAAAAACTGACAATGGTGAACCCAAACAAAAGAAATTTTCTAACTATAATATAAAAAAACATTTGAAAATTTACAAAAAAAAAAAATTTTTTTTTTAGTATTTAAAAAATTGTGAACATACTTCAAAATTTAAATGAATTCGCGAACTATTGTCAGCTCGCTTGATCTAGAATATAATGTAATATTAAGTATGATAGTATTTATATAATATTATGTACAAATAAAATACTCAATATTAGGTACTTACAAATGGCTCCCATCCAGTTATAATATCATACGATATGACACTGCCCAAAGAATGTGCCATTATAGATACTTTAAAATGATGATGTGGGTGACGTTCCACAAATTCTGAATGCAATCTATTCAGTTCATTAGCTAAACTATTTTGAATTTCTCGACCATATACTGGAGAAGAATAGTACATTATGTCCATAGCTGATGAGTTTAGAATTTGACGGATGTTTTTTAAATTTAATGGCGTTATCTGTTCGACTAAGCCTGAATTTAAAAAAAAAATAATAGTAGATTAACATTGAGTATTACAATCTTTTAGTTTTTGTTAATATTATATTACCTCCATCAAAACTACATTGTGATCTCCAGTCTACAGGAAAAAATTCTGCCCTCTGTTCAGTACCTAAGAAATATTTTTGTTTAATCCATTTAACACAGTCGCGAAATCTAAAGGAACAACATTATAATAAAATTAATGAAATAAAATGTTCAAAATAATATCTTTTACTGTAGTAAGGTATTACTATAAAGCATATTTACTGTGAAGTGTTTTTTATAATTTTTTTATTATCTATTTTATGACCGATTCCATGAATCAAAAATACTAAATGTGTTATATCGTTCAACTTGTCTTTTTCATTAGCATCTGTTTTATATGATCTTATCAATTTATACCCGGCAGCTAAAACAAGAATATTGATACAGTTTAGTAATCAAATTATATTTTAAAACATAATATTAAAAAGTAATAGATGTAACACTTTGTGACTAAGATTATCGTAGGTTATAATAATTTTGTTAAGTGTGAAAATAGTAAAATTAATTTGTTGAATATTGTGTAATTGTTAAATCCTTTTTACTTTTTAATAGTGTAAAATAAAAATGCGTGATTTTTTACGCTATGTGCATGTATTTAAACTAACTTACCAAACTCGAGGAATCAAAATCTCAATAATTAAAATATTATAAGACAAATTATAGTTTAATGTTATAAAAACCATTATAAAAAATACTTACATTTTTGAAAATAAGTTCCTAATTTTTTTGTAACACTTCTCATAAGTTTTGTATTTATAAAAGTTTTTTGTTTAAAGGAATACACTTCAGTGAATGAATACCAAACTATATGCATGTCTCCGAAAGTGACATCTTTTAAAACTGAGAACAAAAGTAAGGTAACTTAATGAAATTCTTAACTTAAATCATAATTAATTTACATGACTTTAGTGGAAAACAATAATACCAGACTTTCCATTATCTTCAGTAGTTTCAATTTTCCTGGTATCATCTTTGAACAGATTTAAATGTTCTCGTTCGACTTCCTCGCCATATTCATATGGTTCATATCCATCATAGAACCATACACCACGAAAAATGTCAGCTTCTTCGCCTATTGAATTACCAAAATTAGTAAAGAAATGTGCACAGTAAAACAATCCCACTTACCTGGCCAAAATATAGAGGTGCATTTTTTTTTCAAAAGATCTACTTCATAAAGACCACCTCTTACCACAACAGTATATAATCCAACAAAATAATTATATGATCCATTCAAAGAAGATGCTTCCTCTTCATTGCCGAAATTTGCCCTATACCTGTACTCTATATTTAAAGAATCAAAACCATCGAATTTGGTCCATCTTTTGGAATCACTTTTGTAGAACCATCTGACTTTTTCTGGTTTTAAAGGTTCAAATGTTATTGCAGTGCCATTGACCTGATTATTAGGTGTATTATTATAATTTTGTCTATCGTCAAAAACCAATTCTGGTTCTTCGATTTGTATACTACTAGTTTCCATATTGTTCACTACTGGCGCATAACTAAAATAATGTAAACGGCAAAATTAATAATAATTCACCAATAAGATTGATAAAAAAAAAAAAAACACGCAAGCTTCAGATTCTAATTAATTGATGATGTAACAATACATCTAACAAAGCACAAAAAATAATTTGCAAAATTCACCTTCAAGTGTGTAAATGGCAAACGTTTTCCCTCGTGTTCGTAATTAAACTAACTATAATCGTAGGATCCTATAGACACTCAGCAACTATAATAATATTAGGTACCTATTAAAAACGTTTTAATTGAGTTGAAATGATCTAGGTATATTGAACGTTTAGATTTTTAATGTTTAAAAAAATGTCAGCTCTTATCTATGTTATCACTGATGGTGTCATGTGGTTATCATTACTCATAGATAATAAAATCCACGGTATTATATAAGACTATGATAAAATCCTTCGACCGTATAAGCTTATAGTTATATGGTCGAAGATAAAATCACAGAATCACAAAAATATTATGATAGTAGTTTTCGTAATAAATAATGATCGTAATATATTGATAACATAAATGCATAATTTTTTGTTGAAAGAAGTGTTTTTAATTTAAAAATATACCAATCTTTTATTTGTTATTACGATTAGATATGCTTTATATTAATTAAAACAATTTTTACCATTTAATAGCCAAAGTTTCTAAAATGTTTGGTACTCTAAGAGAAAAATTACACAGCGTTGTTCAGGAAGGATTATCAGCAAGGTAAATATTATTGTATTATTGTGATTATTATTTTTTCATATTGTACTCAATAAAAGTTATGAATTGGAAAAGCTTTTTTTCATTATGTTATTGTTACGTAAATTTAAAATTTTATTTAGTCACTTATGGTATTAAAATACACCCCAAGGTTATTTTATTAAATGTACCTACCTACCCTACTTTACCTAACTATTCAATAAAACGCAATTCAAATCTCAGCAATATATATTTTGTTTACATCTCCCCATCTATTTTTTAACTATTTGTTGGCCATTCAATTGTGTAGTATTTATAGTTATTTACAAAAATGTTACTGTTGTAATTTTATAATTATCATATTACTCTTATAAAATCTTAATAATAAAAAAAATAAATATAGTTTCTATGATTTTTTTTTTGATAAATTTGTTTTAAACTTAATATTGATACTTATTGCTTAACACAACTTATACTCTTTAGTAACATGTATTAAAAGTAACAGTCACACTCGTATTCCTATAAGTATTAGATATATTATTTTTTACTATTATTTGTATGGACATTTGGCCATTTGATTGAATCACAATCAAATACATAGGTAGTATAATGGATATCCTTAAACACGAAACTCACAAATTGTACTTGTGTTTTTTATTTTATTGCATATACAATTAAATTTGTATACTGTTAATTATTTATTTATAAATATTTTATAATATAATATATTTAAATCATAGTTTTTTTTTTCTATTCTGTATTTCTTATTATTTACAAAAAATGATTTGTTTAGTTATCTTAGTTACACAATATTAACCAACTGTAACCAATGAATGAATGATTAATGTGTTAAACAGATATTACAATAATTTTAATTAAAAATTACCTGTTTTAGAGCTCATATATATACATGATCATAGGAAACTTTGAATAAACTGAAAAAAGAATATATATCATATTTATTGATATGAATAATTTATTAAATCTAGTCATCAGTAATGGGTATTAGCTCTCATAGATTTTAAGGTTTTTTTGGATACACTTGACCTTTATAACATTTATAACCTTTATGCAATATTCTTTTTGCTGTATTTTACTTCTGCCTGTATTCAAAAATTCTTTCACTTTACTCACTATTTCCTTGAAATCCTAAGAATATGTATTTGTTGAAATTTTAAATAATTTTTTTATGTTATCTTACTTTTTAAAAGTACCAATGTATAGATTACTAGCATGACAATGTTCTAAATCTAGTTGTGGGTTTTGTTAATCTATGTATTTTGTATATATATAGGGTGATTATTTTATCACGAACCAGCAATTTTCTCAGAGGATTTTAAGTGAGTTTGATTTCTGTTTGTTTTTTCAATCATTGGTGAATAGGGTAAGCTTTATTTTAAAATTATTTTTAATTTTTACTCCAACTCCATGTTGCTTAAATAAGTATGCCTGTATATTTGATAAAAATAACACTAATATCAAATTTACTGTATGTAAGATATAACCATTTAAAGTTTAAATTTTTTGGCTGCACCCCATAACTGTATTCCGTATGTCCTATTCAAATCTGAATTTAAAAAATGGAGTCCCCATTTGAAAAACAAAAGTTTGTTATTTAAGGTATATGGAGTATTAATATTAAAATAAAAATGGTTTTAAAATAAAGCTTAACCGAATAAAAACATAAAAATCATATTCAGTTAAAATCCTTTGAAAAAATTGCTGATTCATGATAAAAAAAATCACTCTGTATACATACATTAATAAATAAATTACAATTTTTATATATTCTACGAATATTTTTATAGATTATTTTTGTTTTTATTATATTTTTTTCTTTTTATTTCATAATGCTGACTTTTACAGTACTTTAATTGTTTTCTTTCATTTTTATTTCTTCTATTTGAATCTATTATGTATGTTGAATATGTTATCAAAAAAGATAATTATGTTATTTCTTGACATTATATTACTTTAATTATTATTGTGTTATTTACATATGTAATATTAATATTATTTTTATTTTTAAAGTAAAGTAAGACTCCCTATTCCCACCACAAGCATTGTTTACAGGGAGTAGGTACCAACATTATATGTTTAATTTTGTTTTGTATAGTATGTACAGTGAAACCTCTGAATAGTGGACACTCTTGGTCACCAACATTTTGTCCGTTATTCGGAGGTGTCCGTTATTTAGAGGGGATAAATGTTTGAAATTTATTTGTATAATAATGTACTATGTATGTACATACATACATATATGTAATGTTATTACTTATTATTTATTGAAAATTATTACATTTTTATATTTTTGCAAATTACATATTTTAATTATTAATTACATATTATTATTTAAAGTATATTTTTATACATGTTGTACATATTTTTAAATTATTTTTGTTTAAAAAAATCGGTNTTGTAATTACACCTTCTCTGTACAATCTCATTAGTAATATCATTCGCCAATGTTACAGCAGAAGTAAAAATAGAATTGCTCTTTACCTCTATTGATGAAATAAAATGATTTACGCTCTTTACAGCAGACAAAGCATGCTGTAAACTTGTTATTTGATATTTTGAAGTTTCTGCTTCTTCAGGCTCGTCTTCTTCCTCATTTTCGGGCTCGTCGGGCTCATCAGGATCATCGGTGCCCGTTAGATTGGTCTCGTGAGTGGAAATGATTTCGTCTAATACAAAATATGTTTCTACTTCAACACTGCTGTCGATCAGTGTGATGAGAGCTAAAAGTTCTCCATCTATTATGGATTGTTCTCCAGTATCAATTGTTTGTCCTAATTGTTCATCGACTTGGTGACTGAAACCACATCGCAAGAAGCATTTTTTGACAGTTTCAGGCTTGATTTGGCTTGAGCAGAAGCCACCCAATACACAGCGTCCAAAACATTTATAGCGCTAGATTCTCCAGCATCCAAATCAGCAACTGCTTTTTGTAACCGTTGCTTACGATAGAGCTTTTTAAATTGTTGGATTATGCCCTGGTCCAAAGGTTGGCAGTGAGACGTCATATTTGGGGGAAAAAAGACTAGCTCGACATTTTGCAGTTGAAGATGGGGATAAGGAGCTGCATTGTCGACAAAAAGTAGTACTTTTCTTTGACTTTTAATCATTTGTTTATCGAATTTCATGAGCCAGTCTGTCATAATCTGTGTCGTCATCCAGGCCTTTTTATTCCAACATCAGTCAACGGGAAATTTATTTAGGTCTAATTTTTTGAAAGCTCGCGGTCGTTTTGCCTTACCTATGACGAGAGGACGTTCAAATTCACCTATTATATTACAGCACAATAGCACAGTCAACCGTTCTTTTGAAACTTTTCCACCACTGAGAGAGTGCATACGAATGTGAATACGTATTTTTTCAAATAATGATTAGGGATTTACCATTATTTAAAAAATTCCCTAATAAAATAATATATAAATTTATAATTATACAATTTTATAAATAAAATAATGTCCGCTATTCGGAAGTTTTCCTATTGAAAAGTAGTGAAAATGTCCCCGTTCCTCAAAAAACGCCCGCTATTGGGAAGTGTCCGTTAGTGGAGGTTTTACTGTATATGTTTTGATGTTAAAAATACAAATAAATATAAACAGGGTGATTCGTTAAATGTGCATTTTTGGCAGTGTAATCACTACCTACTATTGATTTTAAAATAGCAATCTATATTAAAAATTAATTAAAATTAATTTTGGTGTCAGAAGTTTTCAATTCCCATCAACTTTTTGTTGAAATATGCTACTTAGGTGGAAGGGAGTATAGTAGAGTAGCATTTATGTGGCAGCATGCGCGCAGCAAGTGAATAGTGCTTTACTGTTCTACTCCTACTTAAACTTAAAGTGAAATTTGGAATATTTCAACACTTTAGAAAAAAGTAAATACTTTACGAAATAATTGCTGTGTATTTGCATCTATGAGTAGTTAATGCACCAGAATTTTTTTTTTTTCTATGCCTTCTAAGAATATTTATATCTTGAACTATTTCCTTGATTCTGCTATATTGTATATGCAAATGTTATAGTTTTTAATTTTTATAATTTCAATTTTTTTACTATTTACCAATCTACATTATCAATACCCACCTATATTTTAAGCTATAGTTAAATATTATAGTTACTTAATAAGAAAGAAATAAATTGTTATACAAAAAATATAATATATTCATATTTCATTGTAATATGTACCCCAATATGATAAAATTGATATACCTTTTTAAATAATTTACATTGAATCAGTTTCATTCATTATACACATATTATGCACGTTATTGATAACAGTAAACAAATATAAATATTATTATATTTTTCATACTTATTTATTTATGATAAGTTATATGAATAAAGTTTAAACATATAATAATTCTTGATATTATATTTTATACACTCATAATATTGTTTTTAATAATCTTATCTATAATACCTATGCAAGTTAATTACATTATTTAACATTAGGTACATTACATTCAATTAGGTTACCTATATACTATTATACAACTTTGTATTTATAAATTTATCATACAAAACATAGAAAAACCCTATCAATCTATACAAATAGGTTATATGCATGTATATTGTATATAAATATATATACACATACATATATAGAATAATTTAGTTTAAAAACGATTCTGATCAATAAGTATTAAAACTAATATATTCCTCATTACACTTTTAAGCACTTTTAAATTATTTCATTCTTCTGATATATAAAAATATAGGTAGTTTATGACACAATACAATTTAAATAAAATTAATTTTGCATAATCACATAAGTGAATTTTCCTATACTAGAATATAAAATATATATTATATAACATTAGTTTATTTTAATAATTTTTGGATAGTTGTGTAAGTTAAGTTGAACATTTTTAAATATTTGAATAGCATTGAAAATTTAAAACTATTTTTTTTTTTTTTATAAAATCTGCAATCGACAATTTTAATGTATAATAATAATATTACGTTTTAATAGTTATGTACTTATAATAACCACAACACAAATTATTAATCACGGCTACAGCTATGTATTAATCCTACACTTGTCTGGTTATCAGTTGACTTACTTAGCGCTCATTACTTTCAACTTATCTGGTTTTTTAGCCGGTTTGATCTTACAAAAGAAAAAAAATTTCTTATTGTTTTTCCCCTGAACCCTTCAGATAAAATAAGATATATTTTAATAATATTATTTTAAATTTCATGAAAAATATGTTAATAAATTTGTGCTTTATGTTTTATTAGTCATGTTAAAAATAATTTTAATTTGGTTGTGGTTTTTTTATATATATAGTCTAAGAAGCTTATCTGTAAATGAAGTTATTGTTGCGCCATCTCCTAACGATCTACATCCTGTTAATTATGATGCTGGTGCAGATCTTTTACATAAATACCAGACTGAATGGAATCAGCTGCATTTATTAGCTGAAGACAATGCACATAAAGCTGAGGTTAGTTATTAATTATTGAAAAAAAGAAATAATAACCCAAAAAATGATTAATGTCACATGGTTATAGGAAGTCAATGAAATGATTAGTCTTTTACACCATCAAATGAGTGAACAGTGGAAAAGAATGGACACTATCACTACTTGTGTGGATTCAATGCCCCAACTCGTAAAAAGTATTGAAAACGCTATGAAGGACATGGGTAATTTGGAATCACTAAATATGTAAACAAAAATTTATCAAATACAAACTGCATTTTCAATGTCATTTTAGAAAATATTAAAACTTTGATCAATGATGTGGAACATCAGTTATTGAAGCTGGAAGACGTAGTCGAGGAACAAGAATTACAAGAACAGATGTTGAATGAGCGGTTTCAACTGGCCGTTTATCGATCGAAAAAGCTGAAAGAGTTGGAAAAAATTAGCAGTACATAATTGTGATATCATTTTGTATTGTCATGATATATTTTATTAAAATCAATGTTTCCAGGTCAATTGGAAACAGAACATAAGGAGAAAGTAGCTGATTTAGAGCAAAAGATAAACATCAAACTCAAAGAGAGACAAGAAATTTTCAATCAAGTCTTTCAACAAGACATGCGACAATATATTATATCGGGTATTATTCCTGTGATGAAGAGTTCAAGTCAGTAAAATAATTAAAATATTACATATTATTGCAGTGGTTATTCCCATTGATAACTTTGTACTTTCAGATAAAATATATTTTCATAACTGTAATATTTATTAAACTAATTTTTTGCCTAAGTATTAAACTATTAAAACAATACAAATGATGAATTATAAAATTATTACAATTTTTTCTGTAAAAATATAATATGTAAATTACAAATTTATTGATGAAGACGAATACTTTGACACATTGTTTAGTAGTTGAATATTAAAAAAAAATGTATTAAGGTATAAAATAACAGCAAAATTTTATTTGTAGGTACAAATGGACGCGATGAACTTTCACTTGAAGACATTGACATAGAAGATGACACGGACGCACTGAACGAACTTCTAAATTCTTGACGGTTTGTTTTATACTTGAATGTGGTTACTTAAATGAGTGATATTATTTTTAAAGGATTTGTCTTCCAAGTTAATCTGTAAAGCTGTGATCTATAATAATTGTTTGAATGTTTTATTTTTAAAAAAAATTATTATTTATTATTAATTATTGTATCATATTATTAATTTTTTAAGTATTTGGATATGTATTGTACTTGTGTATCACAATAATCAAAATGTAAAATTAAAAAATTACAGCATTACACATTTATACTCACTGATTCTCAAAAATAAGTGTTTGTGATATATCACTTGTTCACCTCTACACTGCACATAATATTAAAAGATTTAGTCTCTTTTTTATTACATTAATATCCTTAGATTGAACGCATGTATAATCCTGGAAAGCAATCACACAGACCATAGAATTCCGGATTCGTATATAGGTGAACTGTATTTTCACAGACAGTAGAAATTCCGAAAGTATCTAACTGTATAGTCTTGGACCGTATATTTCCGAAATTTAAATTTTAAGTGACATTAACGCCATCAAGTAGTCTAACATATAGTTATAAATATAAAATACTCTAAGACTTTCTAAGGATTTTTAAATAGGCGACCAAATGTTAACAGTAAATGTGTTTACTTTTTAAAAAGACCAACCCAAGGACAATTTTATGTGGTTATTACTTCTGATTAAATTCTGAGGTCCTAGACTTCAGTCCCCATCCCAAATCTCAAATACTATTTGTGTCTATATCTAGAAAAGTGCTAAACAAACACTCACATTGCCTCAGCGAAAGTATTGTTGGCAGGCACGACTGGTATATTACCTACATATTACTATAGCATTGGTGCCTATCAAAATAAGATATATTTTTAATTAAGTTTTTTATTATTACATGTACCTATGATTTTAGATTTTAAACAGAGCGATTTTACAATAATGTATGTTTTTATTTGTGTGTGTATGGATAAACAATTTACAATTTATATTAGAAAAATGATTTGATTTACAACTTCAACTATAATTCTAATAGGAAAATTAATCTAGTTGGTATTTTTGGGTGATCGATTATTTGTATTATTTGATTTATTAATATCTTATTTCATTGATATTCAAAAATGAATAATTGAAGTATTTTCTGTACATAGTTTCTTTAGTTTCAATTCGTACAATCTGTTGCAGCCATCTTCCACGCTTCTCTATTTTCTGCTTTCCTGTTTTTAATTGTAAATATGAGTCGCATCTAGAATTTACAATCCCGGCCTTATTTTACGATTTCGGGATATTTAGCTATTAATTCCAAAATTTAGTAAGAAAATATTTAAAAGAATTATGCATCATTTTTTTTATTTAATTTTTTTTATTGATATATTTTTTATTATTGTTATAAATTACAATTAAATGTTCTACTTATTTTTAAGCCTACAACCAACTTTCGTTTAGCTAGTGGTGGTATCGAATTTTCTTTTAACGGTTGTCCATGTCCATGCCCAGTTAATGAACAATTGCCTTCAGAAACTAAAAATTACGTTTTAATAACAAATACGTGTGTAAACCTTTTGTTGATCCTCCCAGTGTTTTCAATATAGCTAAACATCGTTTACATCGAGCACTTTTTCCATCGTTTGCGATTAGGAAATTACCACGTCGATGATGTATCTGAATCTTTTTTGTGTTTAATAAAAACACTATCACGTGACATTTTATAATAAAAATATTGATACAGTTAAATATTTAAAAAAAGACCCGTGAGTCTTGACTCGTGACCGTATTGAATGTATTCAGAGAACAGCAAGTCATAATATAATAAAATCTTATCTTACAAACAAGTTGATCGGAATTAATAGCCGGGGAATTAAATTATAGAGGCACTGTTACATAATCCCGGGAATCCTGGGATTATTTATACTGGTCCCGATATGTTCGGTACCTAAAAGTAGTCGGAATCCCGGGATCCGGTATCCCGAGATTGTAATCTCTAGTCGCAGCTTTGGTCCTTTATTAATTGTTGAATGTATTCCAATCTTGCTTTCCTCTATAATTCTTCCTTTCTACGCTTCCTCTTATAATTAATTCTAACAATGGAACAATCTATCATGTATTAAATGACCTATCCATTCATTCAGTTTTCTTTCTTTATTCTTCTATGATAGCAGTAGTCCTTTTAAATATCCTTTCGATTATTTCTTTATTGGTTGAATAACCAATAAATTGGATGGGGAGAATTGTCCATCCAGCATTATTTTCAACATTCTACTAGAGCACCACATTTCGAGTATAGATGAATACGGCATCTGCTAACCAATTGTACTTTTTGATTGGTCGATTTGAATCGCCACGCAAAAGCGCCAGATGCCGACGTTGTTTAAGTAGGTAGGTGTCTTGTGATCTTTAAATCAATATATTCGTAGTATTCGAATGGGATGACGCGGCACTTTCAATCCATATGGGGTAAAAAGTTCGATCCGATGATCACGAAACAATTATTTTGCTTTTTTTTTTGTATTTCCTTTGTTACCAACTCCGTCAAGGTTTTGCAAACAAAATGAGGTTCATTTTAATTTAAAACAGTCCGTTAAATGAATAAGACGATTACATACATTTTATTTTTTATTTCATGAATGTCAAAGCCACAGTCAAATGTATAAACATGGGGCAAAAGAAGCTATTTATATAGGGTATGCTGATACGTAATAATGATAAACTTCAAATAGGCATACAATTTTTAATAATAGTTTCCATAAAAAATTCAAACATTTTAAATATGTCGAAAAACACATCTTTTCAAACATAATTGAAAAATAGGAGGTGAGGATTTTCCTAGTTTTTCCCGTTTTTACTTTGTTTTTTTTCGGTTTTTCAAATTTGATAAGAAAACTCCTGAAAAAAAAAACAAAAAATTACCTTAGTAAAGTACCTAATAAATAAGATTTCTTTTCAGAAAAGGTGCCACACTTATACATCGGAGCAAGTTTTCTAGGAGATTAGTGGTTTACAGTAAAAAAAAAAAAAGATAAAAAGTGGGGCGAATTTTTTGAATATTTTACCACATCTAAGTTTTCTTACCAAGTGTCAAGTCTCTACGAATATTTATTATCGAATAACGAAAAATAAACTCCCAAAATTAAAATAGCTCAAAATCGGCTCAAACGTTTTGGAAATGATACCATAAGAAATAAGATTTAAAATGAAATAAAATATGTCTCTTGTCATTTTTGGTTTGGAGATTTTGGATAGAAAAGTAAAAAAAAAAGAAAAATGCTATTATCACTTTAAAACCAGTATATAATCATCATTTCGCTCGAATTCAAACTATAATAAGATTATTTACTATATAACAGATGAAAGAACCAATAGATTGTGCTTATTGCGATTCTTTTTCTTTCCGGGAGAATACGGTCCGGGACTATATGGTTTGTAACTTTCCAGATTTGTGCTGTCCGTGATAATGCGGTACGAATATTTTTAAATTCCGGAAACATATAGTCCGGGGCTATACGATTTACGTATATAATTTTTCCGGATTAATCGGACCATTAGATTACTTTCCGGAATTTTACGGCCTCCTGTTAGATTAAAAAGCAAATAAGCAATATAAACAAATTTATGGTCAGCAATAAAACTTAGTGCACTACAATAATATTAAGCAAGTATAAAAGAAAAAATATTGTAATATATTTTCAAATAATTATCTGTAATATCAAACAATTTTGATGATATGATATTAAAGTGTAACTGTAATTGTTTTCTTACAACTACTTCTATTAGCTTGATTATTTTATATGTATTTTGTTCAGATTTCAGTTGAGTATGTCAGACTAGCTCAACTGAAAATGCAGTAAATACAATGAATCGGAGAAACATTTCCCAATAAATATATGTACTATAATTCTTATTGTGTAAAAAGTACTAATATATTGAATAGTAAATATTTATTTCTATTAGATAAAATTAAAAATTGTTTTACTTTTACCATTAAAAAATACCTTTGATTCTTGGATGCTCATTTTTAAAATATAAATAATAAATTAGAAACAAGTGTATTAGTGCAGAATACAAATTGAACCTAACATATTTTTATAAGTAAATAATTTTCTTATTTAAAAAAAATTATAAAGTATTGGATGTGATATCTGCTTCTGATATTGAACATTTCTGAAAAGAAAAATTTTAAATTCCAATTTGTTGCAAAAATGTAATCTATATATTTACAAGGTGTTCTACGAAGATAGACCCATTGTAATATCTCCGAATATAATAAAGATAATCAAATTCTGTTATTTTTATATTATTTACATAAATAAGGACTATACATTGGCTGAATTCGGGGGGTAGGGCTTAGTCTACAAGTACACTTATAATATTTCGTTATGTAATCATATATTTTTAGGTACCTTTTATTATTTGTGGAAACAGGATTTTTGGTTTTTTATATACCTATATAATATATATGAAAGGAGTGAATTGTCTTTCATTTCAATTTTATAAAATCTAGGGTTGGGCAAATGCATACTCCTGTCCCCCCTCTTCAAATGACTCCCCTGATATAAGGTCTATGGTTCATAGTTACGCGGTTTCTAATTTTACATTATTCACGAGCATAGACGAGTATCTTAAATTGTGATTAGGTCTATGTTAACGAGCACCTTGGGAGCAAACATGTGCCACCAATCAGAAGCGTTCACTTCTGTTAGGTATCAATGAGTATTTGTAAAAGCATATTTCTTATCAGAGTATATAAAAATATTAGTGTAATATAATATATATGTGTTGTACATTAACGGTGTAAAGAGCATTGAAACACTGAGTATTACTCAATGGTGAAGAGTAGGTTCGATTTCCATTCTTTGAAATCTAAAGGTTAAAACACAGTATCATTATAAGTGTGGCATACCTATAGAAAAACAAAATATTTACCATGGAAATTTGCAAATATTTTTTGTTCTTTTTAATAAAATGACATGATTTGCCTCTATGTGTAATTTTAAAGTTTTTTGTTCGTAAATAACTTACCTACCACAAGACAAATCTGGACATTGTAAAGAAATCATTTTTTTTTTGTATTGAGTACATGCTATTAAGTGTCGTTTTAAAATTATTTTTTAACTAAAGTACTTGTTGCACTGCGTACACTTAAGATTTATTTCCATATTAAATGTTATAAATTATTGAATATATTCTAAAAAATATATAGTCACTACACAATTTGGCACTGAGCATAGAAACAAACAGCAAATATTAGCAGTGTATTTTTATGCAATCTTTATAATCCCCCAATTTCAACTATTTATTTTATCAGATAACTTACAATAATATATAAAAAGCGTTTTGATATTTCTCCTGGGAATTTCTAATACTAAACAATAAACAATTATGTTTGTACCTATAATATTACATGCTATTTCTACTTGAACACTTTCTATCCGAAAGCTTTTATATTATGATGTAGATGAAAATGTCATTGATGTCAAAGGCTCTAAAATATTTTCATAAGATTTATATACAGGAAAACAGTCGATTTTCAATCGTTTATGTTTGGCAAAATAATTTTATCTACATTAAACTAAATAAAAACTAAAAAATTTCAAATCCTTCTCAATGGGCCAACTAGAAAATACAATAAAAAAGTTCTTTTGTCATTTATACATTTCAATTTGAAATGGTTTTGGTTGAAATAATAAATCATTCATTAAAGCTATCTCTTTGATTAATTTATACATTCTTGTATATTATGTGTAAGTACTTTAATTCAGTAAAAACGCAGGCATCTAAAATGTATTATTTAATTAATTAAAACATTATAAACAAAATATAATAGAAATGTGTGAGTTCTTATTCAAATAAATGTGTATAAGATGATATCTATGGTAGAAAAACACTGAGTGGTTTAAATATTAAACTATTGAAATGTATAATAATATAATAATAATAATAACATCAACAACAGTAATATTACCAATTTAACCCTTTAACGTCGGATTTATCTGACCTGACGTATTTCATCAAACGTGCTATTTTTAGATTCATGTGAATTATCTGAAATACACATATTCAATTCTTTATCTATATTTTTAAGTCTTGACTTTGACCTTGACAATTGTTCGTGCACGGTGCACTATAGATATAAGACGAGTGACCCGACACGACCTTTGGTGTATCATACGCGTGACACAACAAGATTGTATCAAATCTGTATTTATTTCATTATTTTATAGTAAGTACTTTTTAATATAACTATTACTATTTTATTTATTATACTTTCTATTAAAAATAGACGTCTTAGGATAATGGGGACGGGTGCAGCCACTGTTATAGATAATTTAATGTATACGATTTGAATTGATGTACCATTGCTTACGAAAAAACGATTCTGAGCGGAATCAGTTGATAGTGATGCTTTGTCAACAATATATATGTCATTTTATATTAAAAAAAAATTAAATAGGCTTCATATATTTTCTTTAAAAATATTTCTTTAATGTTGTACCGATTTGCCAATTTTCCTACGTTTTATCCCGGTTTTTCACATTTTTTGGGAAAACTCTTGAGAAAATCGAAAAATTACATCCTTAAAGTACCTCCCCACACCGATTTCAGAAAAAATGCTACAACGCAGAAATTCGAGTAAGTCTTCTGGTAAAAAAGTTGCGCAAAAAAAAATAAACATCTTTGTAAAACTATAAGCTTATTCAATCCATTCTGAATCTAAAATATACATTATTATTTGTTAACCAGGAAAAACGTAGGAAAAGGGGTAAATGTGGTAAAATATAGCTTTTATTATTTTTAATTTTGTTTTTTTGTTGTTATTCAGTTTAAAAGTTCGTAAAAACATGAAAACAGAAAACTTATAGTTGCCTTTTCTAGACGTAGTGACATTTTCAAAATTGTTGAGCTAATTATAAATAATTTAATTTTTCGAGTTTTTTACGTAAGTTTAATTCGGTAGGTGGAAAATTTGTACGCAGTACGTAATTCGAAAAACATGTATACACCTAGGTATACCTTCATATACATTAGAATATTGGACAAATACAAATAAAAACTAAATATTTATTGTCCATTTGGATTATAGCTACATTATAGCTATGTACACACCATACGAAATCTACACGTTTATAAATTATAGTAGGTCTGGTAAAATTCTTAAAATATGGAGTGATTAACGTTAATGAAACATTAAATGTTTCTACGCCGCAATTTATTTAAACTAAAACGTCATTTAATTGTAGAATTTTTTCATAGGATGCTATTTGAGGAAAATCAAAAGTAATATCGAAATGACAGTGTCGAAAAATAACTGTAATGTAACGTTTCAGAACTGCTTGTTTCTCATAAATTGTATAAAATACAAATCCTAAAAATAATTGATACTTTCCGAAATAATGAGTGTTTTACATTGTTTGATCAATTTTTAGAGTGATAGAGGTTTAGATATCTATCTAATTTTGATTTTCAAATAGCAACCTATATTAAAAGTTCATAAATAGATTCAGTATTAGTTAAAATAAATTTTAACTTGAAAATCAAAAGTAGGTAGTTGTATTCTCCCCCCAAAATAAGGGTGACAAAAAATAACACAAATATAAAATTGTGGAGTAACTTATTTCTTAATTGTTCTGGAAAACAAATTTCGGAAAAACTTAAGACTTTCCGAGATAGTGAGTGTACCCATTCAAATGATCACCTGGTTAACCATAAAAACGTTAGGCGGTGGTGTGTCTCGGGATCGGATTTTGAAAACCGTCAATATATCCATTATACATAAAGGTTTCACGAAGTAGAGAATGGTAATGGGTCTGTATTATTAATATTATTATAATATTCTATCGTATTGGATTACAAATGTCGGTTCCGTTACAATATAGTTTCCAATGTTCACGCGATAATGTGTTCAAACTATTCGACCAAAATTCTCTGCTGAAAATATACTCGGTCGGGGTTACTTTTAAAGTTACTGTCCACCATCAGCAGTGTAGCGAGTCTTTAAAGGGATTTAAACATACATACACATACACACACACACACGCGCGTATAACCAATAGAGAAGTTTTAGGATATTGATTTTCCGGTGGCCTATGTTTAAGGACCAACCACACACACACACACACACACACACACACACACACACACACATACACATACACACTACATTATACCCGAGTCAACCCAAATAATATAATACATTATAGGTTCTTCGATAAAATGTAGTCAATTACGGCAGACGTACAGAAAATGTGAACATTTTTTTTTAAACGATGGTTTTCTCTTAAATCCCTCAAAATAGCGTAATATATGTATTTATTTTTCGTTACTCGATAGTAAAACAATGTGACAAATGTACAAACTGCATTATTATTATGTAGGAAATAATTCTAATACATATTTACTGATATTGTTAAACATTTAAATAAAAATAATATTTTGCTAAAACACGTTTTGTTACGGTTATTTTTTAAATTATATTATTATACAGGTGACCCACGATAATTTGACGCTTGAAATAACTTTTGTTACATTCAATATTTTTAATATACATAATTTAAATTTAATTAGTATACCTCTGCACTACAGTTAATGTTGACAATTTTTTTTTAAATGGAAGTGGGAATTTTACTATACTTTTTTTTAAAAACATTCAAAATAGCCATTTTGTAAAATAAATTTGTAGAAAATTTTTGGTGATTGAAACTTTTGTTTACATAGGTATGTTTTTTTTTTTTTTGTAATTTTTCGACGTTTTTGCAAATCTAAATTTCTGTATGATTTTAATCTATTATAATATTAAATCAGTAGTCAGTAGAGATATTGTATGATGTTAACTAATGAATAAGAAAATCCTTGTCATTTGATATTATGATGTGGAATATAACATGAACTATAAGTCAATTTAAATGTTATTAAACACGAAATAATCTCTATAAACGATTGTTGAAAAGTTACGATTCAACCAGAGGCGTAGCTATAAATATTTTTCTGGTTAGGCCAGATAAAATAATATAAATGTTTGAATAGGAAAAACTACTAATACAAATTTTGTTAATTTTTGGAGAAAAGTAGGATAGGCTCGGGCTTACCAGGTTTACCCGCTGGCTACGCTATCAACAACAAATAGAACTTTTAACAGTTATCCTTTGGATAGCGTGTCATTAATTTGTCTATATTGTTATTTGTCAATATTTTTTCCTTTCAATTTTTATAAAGTCGTTGACTTGAGCGTCTAATACGTTTTTGTCAAACATCATATTTCTAGTATTTCTGATATCGTCTCTGTCGTCTCTTCTCCCCGGTAATTGTTAACCACAATGACTATTGTCGTTACGGCCTCCTCGTCTTGGTATTACCTCAGTTAACATGATTGACGCAATTTCTTATATTTAAACAGGATATGCAATTTATTGTTACATTAATAATAATGAACTCGGCTCAGTTATATTAAACGTTATATTTGTACACAATATAGGTATATTTACATTATATTATTTACACTAAAATGAATTATTTTATATTTTATTTTTTAATGTAATTCAATTAAAAATATTCTTGGGGACTTAAAATGTTGACATAACATGTACATTTATATTTTCTAGACGTGGTATAACTTTCAGTATATTTGAGAAGTTTTCGAGTTATTTATGAACATTTTAACTTTGCAAGTTTTACGTAATTTGTATTTGGTAGGTGCTCTGTAGAGTTAGACTTGAATGTATTATATAATAAAATAATAAAGTAAAAATAAAATTATTAAAATGATTAATACTCGTAAATAAATATAGTAAAATTAATATTGAGCTAGGTTACAAAATGATTTCTCTTGACGTCAAAAATGTATATACATTATACATCTATTCCTAAACTCGAAACAGTAAGTTTTTTAAAAAATAAACTTATAAAAAATTAATAAATTTAATACAAACGAAGAACAAGAAATCATTCAATCAATAAATGTAATCATTATAATACTTAATATTATATCATAATACTCTAGACGACGTATTAATCATTTATTTTTTATTTTTATGTTAATTATAAGTCGTAATTAGTGGTAAAAAAAATTTGTTTTGTAAAGTATTTATTTTTTTTTTATAAGTGTTTTAAAATCAAATTTTGACAAAAATCGTAAATATACGGCCTTTTAAAACATATTGTATAACCGAAGTTCGCTCCGAATCGTTTTTCGTTATCAATGGTTTATCGTTAATTACAGGTATAAATTAAATAACTTTATGTATCCCACCTTCAACCTTCCTCACTACCAACCTACAACAGTGGCTGCAACCGGTCACAATTTCAGCTCTTTTTTTCTGCTAATCGAAATAATTACTACGTTCGTCATGTATTAAGCTGCGAATTCATATTCGCCCTGACATAATTTTGTGAAATTCTTTTAGTTTTTGGGAATAAACATATTATAATGTTTTATAATAATATTATAATTATATTATAATGGGTCTAGTAAACTTTCAGTAAAATTTTTCAACGCATCTTTATAATTTGTCTCTATACAAATACATTATAATTTTGTCTACACGAAATTTGAAAATTGAAAAGACGCTGAAATAATATGTGTATACTTTTTTTTGAATATTGATATAATTTGCTCTGTGCATTTATTCTCAGCCGAATTGATTCCTTTACATTACCTTTTTATTACATAGGTGTAATTCTTCGTCGGTACTTAATCAAACATATTTGCGCGAGTGCCTATGAGTGGTTAATTTTATTTTATTGTCGACAAAAAGGAAACCGGATAATTTAAAAATCTTTATAAACGAGCTAAATACAGTATTTTTAATTCTTTAAAATTATGTTACCGATGAGTGATCACATTTACAGGATGCAAGTCGCCATACACAGCGTACATTTGAGGAATGGTAACAAATTATAACATTTTGGATATTTATATGACGATTTTTAATATTTCACATACATATGTGCATGACTTATTTTAAAAAAATATTAATAAAATATGTGTTATACAATGTGTATAAATAAATAAAAGAAAATTGTTAAAATTATGTTGTATGAATAACGATTGATGCAGAACTTTGCATACGAATTAACCAAAAATAAATCCGAATTAACTCGAATTATTTGGGTTTTAACCCGAAACCATCATTATTTAAATCATATAAAACTAAGTGGCATATTAATTTGTTTGTGTTTTTCATAATGTAGATAATAGTTTACACGTTTTGAATGTTTAAAGGGTATATATGATTGTTTTTTTTATAATTAAACTCAATAATTACTAATCATTGACGACAGCCAAATTGGTCTGACGTTTCAAGTGTTTTATTTGATTTTTATTTGTATTTAATATTATTAATTGAGTAGGGTACCTGGTCATTTTGCTATCACAATACTTTTAATTAATTATTTTAAATTATATACATAATTTTCATTTAAACATTTAGCAATTAAAATTGCTGTAAATAATTGTTACATTTATTTATCATGTTTATAAGTCTAGATATATTTTAAGTATATGAAAGATAAATTTATTTTTCGATGACTCAATGTAACAAAATTATATTTGACCTTCTTAATCAAAAATAATCACAATGAAAAGTTTTAGTCAATGTAAGTAATGAACGGTAACTTTCTTCAGTAGAAAAAGGACCAATTAATGGTATTATTTTGAAATTAATATTATGTGAAAAATACAATCTAATTAGGTACTACATTAAATATGCATTTGAAATGTCTATAAACATATTATATGTATATTCATTATACATATAAGTATACGAAATTACAAAATATATAATATTATAAAACACGAGTTTGCATTACTATTCAGAAATAATCGCCACCGGTGCCGCCGCCGCCGCCGACGACGGCAGTTAGTCGGTATTGATCGGATTCTAACGAAGATGCGGCGGCGGAGGCGTCGGAAATGGATGGTATAAGTCGCCCGGACTTAAGTGGTACGCGAAATTTGACATATTATAAGGTATCATCGGGGGTCGTTGGCCGAACGTTCGTAGCGGCGGCGAGGTTACGAAAAAGTTAGTAGCCTGCTGCATTTTTTGTAGTAGTAGAATGTTGTGTATTTTTTGTTGTTGTTGATGCTGTTGATGATGTTGTTGTATTAGCCGATCGATATTCATCAGGGATCGACTACGTTGATCCATAGATGGTGTAGAAGCTGAACGCGGTGAAACACCACATGGTTTTTCTGGAATATAATATTATTATTGTTTGTATATTATTTATATGTTTTAGATTTTATGGGAAAAGTTATTATTATAGCTTCACTAAGATTTGTATTTTTCCCGTAAAACCTATTTTCGATTAATTGCTCCGATTTTTTCACATGGTATCCCAAAACATATGAGAAATTTTCACCCGCGGTTGTACTTAATTCAAAATATTCATTTACATTTTCAACAAACTAGATTCAACTAGATTGTTTTTTTTTTTTTTTTTGATAGTTGATTTTTGTTGATTTCTAGGATCTCTTGGCAACAGGTAAAAAAACAACTTGAATACTACTGCGCTCAGAATCGATTTTTCTTTTGCAATGAATTCGAATTGCATACAGTATTTAAAATTATAAACTACTCATAAATTACTCTGTTGTACTTCATTTTCTAACTAACCACTTAAAACGTTGGTCTACCCGTGAGCAGCATCTACTTTTAAAATATGATATAACTGAGTTTTATTTTTACAACCTTTTTTGAATTCATTGATATTAGTGGAGCAGAGTAAAGAATCTATTGGTTTTATTATGATGTGTGTTTTTGTAATTTTTTTTTTTTTGTGTCTGTGAGCAATTTTTTAACCTGAAATCTTGCTCCAAAGTATCAAATGTAGCACCTTTTTTGAAACGAAATTTCATCTAGTTAGTGCGTCGTTCTCGACGGTCATTCTTTAATTTTCTGAGGGGTTTTTATATAACCAGAAAAAAAGTTATAGGTTAAGCGGCAAATATTTACGAAGTACCCCGGTATTACGTTGTTTGAATCTAATTGCTCACAAAATAAGTTGTATTTTTATTTTCCAACCGGACAAAGACGAACAATTAAAACTGATAAATTATAATAAATATTATTATTAAAAATAAATATTTTCTACTAGAAATATTGCACCAATAAAAAAATGACAAGAGATCTTTTGTTGTATTTTTAATTTAGTCGGTAAAAGTTGTTTGCTGCCAAATTTTTTTCTATAATTGACTCAAACAAAAAAATTTTTTAGAAAGAATGGGAAAATTTACGAAATTAATAATTTTATTATTTTCAATTTTGTTTATTATTGTAATTTTGTTATTGTTTTGTAATTTAGTAAAAAATATTCATAGGGACTTGACATTTTTTTACAGAAAATGTATACTTGCTTTTCCTTAGATGGTAATATTTTGAAAACATTTGAGCTATTTGTAGATATTTTAATTTGTGAGTTTTTTTATGTTATTTTTATTTGGTAGGTACTTTGAGGATAAAATTGTTCGACCAAACAGAAATGCTTGAAATTGAACAGGAGGTTCATTGAGTTAAAGTTGTATTTAGAGGTTAAAAGTTGAGTATAATGTTGTACTTTTTTTTTTTTTACAAAAATCGTAAAAGTGTCGTTTCAAAAAATATATAACTGAACTCGTTCCAAATTATTTTTTGTTAGCAATAGTTTATCGTTGCTAACATATATAAATTAAATAACTTATTTATATATCCCACCTTCTCAGCTTCTCACCCCCGAACGGGTGACACACCCGTTCCAGTATCACCTCTTTTTTATCATTGTTTTCAGTAGTTTGACTTTTTACTTACAACAGTGGCGTGAAGTGTAGACATACCCTGCTATTTTTTATGATACTACCTATTTTTCTGTAATATTTTAAACCATTAATAATAATAAGTACCTACATTTTTATTTTTTTTTTCATTGGATATCCATGTAAAATCGGAATCATAAATATGTAAAAACACACATCAGTTGATTAAAAATTTAAATTATTTTTGTGCAAATATTTAAATTAAGCTGATTTGAATTACGTGATTTCGATGATACACGTGATTTTGGACGATGGACTTCGTTAAATCTTTTATTTCTCGTTCTTAGCCACGGTGCGAATTCATCTTCGTGTCCTGAACAGAACATGTCAATAGTTATCAGAAATACAACCATATTGTAATATAGGTTTTTAAATTCAAGTTAACATACAAATAAATATTTGTATGGGGGCTACCTTTTGGTATTAACGGTCGGTTAAAACTAACGTAGGGCCATTCTTCGAGTATGAAATCCGTTTTCTTTGACGGTTTAGACGCATTTGAAACATGGTAATCCAAAGATTTCTGTGGTTCTTACATGCAAAAAAAAAAAAGAAAAAAGAACATAACATAAGTTTTTTTAATAACACCATATTGTATGTTTACAAATAACAGATAATATCGATTATCAAGTTAACTGCAGTCTGCAGGGTTGTTATGTTTAAAACATTTATTTAAAATACAAAAAAAAAAAAATATTTATTTTGTTTTAAATTTCAATAAAAAACGTACGTTTAGAACAATATTTTTAGTACATTTTGAATTAAATTAATCTATGGGTTTTTCCTACTTTACGGGACACTTTTTAACAATTGAAAATCAGAAATTTCAATGATTTAAAAGAGATAGCAAACAAAAAAATTGGGGAAATTGTTTTAGACAAAACTTCATAACTTATAATAAGCACTACCCCTAAATTCTGATTGCATCACCGTTCTCAGTGTCAAAAACTACATATGTATGAATAAAGAATAAGTATATTATTAAAAAAAGGTGTCCTGTAAAGAAGACCTAATCTATATAAATATTTAAAAATTAATAATAATATCATAATGACAATATATTGACAAATTTGCCGATGAAAAAAAGGTATTTTATATTTATTATTTAAAGTTTTTGTATACCTAATGTACATATTTAAAAAATAATTACATTCAATTAATCTAGCAAGGTTTAGATTATATTTAGGACTATCCTTGCAATAGTAAAAGATTTGGACAAACCGTCAATAAACGCCTGCACGGCTCTTATTCTCTTAATATTGTCCTAGAGGAACGAGTAATAATAAAAATCTATCAATATTCGTGTCATTTCCTACACTAAATATAAAATAAAATAGTATATTAAATGTACATAATGCAATCATATGGAATTTGTGTCATCTATTCAACTAATGATGTTAATAATTTGTATACAGCCCGTGCTCTAGATCAGTGGTTCTCAACCACAAGTCCACGGACCACTGAATCATTAAAATAGAGCAATGGTTAAAAACCACTGTGGTGTTAAACAAAAATTTGTTTTTTAAAACGAATTATGAACTCTCTAGTGCTTAATAATTTAAGTAACTTTTATTACGTTTTTGAATTGAAATTGTTTTTAAAAGGAGAATAAAATGTTGTAGTTAACTTATTTTTTATTTGCTGCAATCTAAAACTGAACAGTCGATATTATGCATTCAAAAACAGTTATATAGCTTACTTGAATTGTATAACACCAATTTAGATTGTCTATTTATTATCGTTTCGTCTACGTCCAAATTCAAGCGTATGTTTTTCCCGCCTAACCAATGGTTTTTCGTTGCATATGCAATCAAATGTTCAACACCATCGGCATCGCTAAAAAGACATCCAGATACTAAATATGTATTGAGTTATTTATATTTTAAATTCATTATTCAAAATTACTTTCCTATCAAAAACATAATTTAAATTTTAGATTCTGAGGGAAGCGAAGAAGCTTATAGTTTTACAAAGATGTTTATTTTTTTTTATCCGTGCGCGACTTTCCTATCAGTAGACTTACTCGGATTTCTACGTGTAGCACTTATTCTGAAAGGAAATCGACGTAAGGAGGTATTTTAGGGAGGTCATTTTCTTAAGAGTTTACTCATTAAATTCGAAAAACCGAAAAAAGAACAGAAAAATGCACGAAATATATTACTAATATATTACGGCCTTTTTTTTTCTGTGTACAACTTTTCTACCAGCACTTTTGCTCTAAATTTTGATAATAGCAATGTATCTTAAAAAAAATTTGACTAGCGAAGTACTTTAAAGAGGTCATTTTTCGATTTTCCTAAGAGTTTTCCCAGCAAATGTGATACACCACGATAAAACATGAGAAAACCGGGAAAAACGTAGGAAAACTGGGAAATCGGTACAACATTAAAGAAATATTATTAAAGAAAATATATTTAATTATTTTTTACTATAAAATGGCATATATATTGTTGACAAAGCATCACTATCAACTGAATTCCGCTAAGAATTGTTTTTTCGAAAGCTATGATTTATTGTTGCTTACAGGTATACATTAAATCATCTATAACAGTGGCCGCAGTCGTCCTCATTATCCTAGGATGTCTTTTTTAATTCTGAAATCGATTTCCTAATTAAAAACTACCATATCAATAACTGGTAGAATCTTGAATCTTAAATTATCTTATGTAATATATTTAATTGACGATCGCCATCTACTTCATCAAAATGTCTTCTTCCTAACTTCAATAGTTGTATATGAAATTCCTGTGAAATCCTCCTTTTTTTAATATTCAATCGGTATTTGTATTTTGTGTTCAATAAACTTAAATGTATTTGCTGCATTGAATAAAAAAAAAAAACTGAACAAAAATTAATAATTGATTTATGAATTTATCAGTAGAAAACCACAATTATTTTTTCCTACGAAAAACTCATTTTACGGGCGCAATCTGAATCGTATAGTTCTACTGCCTAGTAATAACACTAGGCAGTAGAATTATATGAATATATAGAACTATAACACATCGCATTTGATTTACGCAAACTTAAAAATATGGAAAATAAACATGCGGATTTATTCGGTTTATTCGAAGACGTATGTTTATCAAAATAAACATAGTTATACATAATATCATATTCGTATTTGGCGATATGATTAACAATATAAGACTGTCAATAAATTATAAATACGTGAAGTACAACTCATACCAGGGATTATTAATAATTTGTCTTAGTCATACAATTTGTTTAGCAAAAATAATATAGAACGTACATTTAACAAATTCGGTATTTGTTGTTTAACAAAAATAAAATTATTAAATACGAATTTTGTTATAATAAAAAAAATATTATTTGTTCACATAAAATCTCGATTTTTTTACATTAAATAGGCACATAACAGTATACAGAGTAATTGTGAAAATAGTTATAACTGATAATGGGAACTTACTCTGAATTACACATGATGGTCGTATAGTAAAACATATTATAGTAAATAAATTAAACATTATGCAAATTTAAACGTTTTGAAAATAAAATTTCAGCTTCTTACAAAAGAAAAAAAGAGCTGATCCTGCTGTTGGATGCATTACTGTTGTAGGTGGGAAGTTGAGAAGGTACCATATATAAATTTATTTAATTTAGATATGTGCACTACGATAAATTATTACTAACAAAATACGATTCTGAACGAAGTTCAATTATACATATTTTGAAATGCCGTAATTGTTAAGATTTTTATCAAAATTTGATCTTATAAAAATATACTATTACATTTAACTTTTTATTTTTACCACTTGTTACAACTTATAATAAACCTCGTTTTAAATTTTTAAGCATTTTTGTTTGATCAAATAATTGTATCCACATTATACCTACCAAATAAAAACTAAATAAAATGTCTATAAATAGCTCACAAATTTCCAAAATATTTTAAAATTTTTATCTCGTCTAGAAAAGACCAATTTATGTATTCTGTAAAAATTTTACCGAATTAATATTCTTTTCGAATTATTTTCTTAATTTTTTTTTTATCGACATTTTAGTGGAACGCGATAATGACATCGTTAAAGTGAATTATAATATTTTATAAATGATTACGGCGACAATTTAGAGAAAAAAACTAATGTTATAAAAACGTAATAATAATGTGCAACGAACAATAAATTATTAATCCGTTGATATAATAATTAGCGCGGGTACACACATTTTAAATAATTATTTATGTATATTCGCGTTCATCATTAACGGATAACCTCATGGAATTTGCTAATAGCCACAAGACTCCAGTGACCTTAAATACTGCAATTTTTCTTACATAGATACGTTATAGGTACTGTGGTTACTAAAAAAACATTCCCGGGGAAATGAAGACAAAAGTGAAGTAATGGTATACAAATTAATGTGTATAATTTATTCTGTTAAATTTCTCACTGTATGTAAATGTGTGTACTGTGTACCTACATATTATAACGGCCATCATTTTTGTTTAGGTCTTTCTTCTTTATTGTTAATACAAAAATATATAATTGTATGTTACGAATAAATTATGATGTAATACATATGTATGAAATCGGGTAAGAAAATATTAAAACCTTAAAATATTAAAAATCTGAATGCTATCACACATGCGTGCACTTTACCAGTAAATGAAAATACTGATTGTGTCTAAAAAATTAATATAATATTTATTAGGTAGGTAATGTTTGTTAAACAAAATATTAATATTGTTGCCGCGAAAACAAAATATATCGGCGAGTGTTTTGTCATACGCATTACTTATAAAATTTTTATTTTTCATCGTATTTTATTATTTTATCAAAGTAAAAATGTACCCAAGACTTCCCAGTGTTTGATAACGTACCAATTCCCCCCCCCCCCGGTTTGTTATACGAACAATAAACGTTTTGTAAATAATATTTTTACTTTAACCAATATTAGCGTGTGATACACGGGTAGGTATAGTATTCACATTACCTAAATAACGTAGGTAAACGTATAAGTACATTGAACGCCCGGCTCCTTTCGTAGTCTATCAGTTTTTTTTTTAAATTTTATTACACTTATTTATATAAGTAGGTACTATAAACATAAGAAAAAAAAACGTTCTACGTGTGTATGGTATTAACCGGTTTTTTTTTCAATATACGATCGCACAGGTGCGTATCTATTAAAATATAAACTATACAGCATAACAGGTTATAGTTATGAATTAACATAAAGTATAGAGGCGTCATTTCTTCAATGTGTGTTCAGGTCCAATTACTCTCAAACCTTGTATATTACAAGAATATTGTGTAATATACAGCATGTTCATATTTTGTGTTGTAAAAATACCCGAAAATTCGATATTAAGTCAGTACATTATACTATAATTTTATATTCTGAGCGGAACGAGGAATATATTGTTTTTACTATAATGTGTACAATTTGTTTATTTTTCTACCTGATATTTTGCTCCAATCAAAAATATTACAAGAGATCTTTATTGTTAAATTTTGGATCTGGTTGGGGTACTAAAGATGTCAATTTTTTTTTTATTGTTAAAGCGGTTTTATTAATAATTGGACAATTTCATTATTTTAAACGTTATTGATTTTTATAATCTAAAAAAATCTTGCTCCAAATTTTAAGAGTTGCATATTTTCTAAAAGAAAAGGTTATTTAGTTGTATAGTGTATAAGGGGGTAATTTTTGTTTTATAGTTTTCGTAATAAATGTAGGAAAAAACCAAAAAAAAAAAAAAAACGGCAAAGGTTATGGAAATAACGATTTCAATATTTTTATTATAATTCGGTTAAAAATAATAATAAAAACCTGAAATTATCACAAAATTCTTATATTATGTTTTTCTAGATATGGTAAATTTTTAATCAAATCCCATAGCAAATATCTATGGATGGTTATAGACAGTGACATGGCCAGAAGGAATTTCGGGTGTTGGTATCTACCCCCCCCCCATATTTAGTTACAGGTAAGATTAAGAATGTTATGGATCCCTAATCACACATAGATACCTTTTAACACCTCCCTCCCAGTTGATAAATTCTGGCTACGACACTCACCACTGGCTATAGGTGTAAAATTTCAAGTTTTTTTTAGTTTTATTTGATTTTGTGTGGATAAAATTATTTGGCTAAATAGAAAATTTAACATTAAGTTCATTAGGCATAAGCTGCATTTAGTAATAAAAATAAAATTTAAGTTTTATTTTTATTTATACATTTTAATGAAAATCGAAAATATCGTGGCATTTTAAAACATATATACATATATTATATAGCCGAGTTTTGCGCATAATCGTTTTTCGTTAGCCATTGTTAAACCATTGTTTATCGTTACGTACAAATATAAATTAAATAACTACATATTTTACCTTCTCATCGTTTCACCCATAATAGTAGACAGTAGAACATCCATCAACAGTATCAGCATTTTTTTTTTTTTTGTTGTTTTTATAATAATTTGTTCGTATTTTATGACTGCTGTCATAGACGATTTAAAATATATATCTATATTGTCAGTAATTTATTAGCGATTCCTCATTCCTTATTTTTGCAATATATGCAAATACAACGGGAGGTGAGGTAGACTATATAAAGTTAATAATAATAAGTAATAACTTTACTGATAATGTAATGATGTGTGAGCCGGTTATGTCGTAATGTCTACGACGGATTTACTGCATAGTAATGGACATAATATTGTTATAATATAATTATAATGGGTGTGGATAAAAAATATTGTATTACAAAAATTGCGAACAATTTTATATTTTATAAACATTTAATTAGAAATATCCGTGTCATTATGAATTAGGAACTTAAGGATAATAGGATATTGAATGAACTTGTATTAAATTTGCATTATTTTCTTAGTCAACACTTGGAATGAAATTTTTGACTAATAATTTTATTATAACATTCATTAGGTGGATAATTAATACAATTTTTATTTCACTCTTGTGTACATTTTTTTTTTTTTACTGAACAACATTTATATTAGAAATTTACCTCTAATCAAGTAGGTAACATATATTTAAAAAAAAGACATAGTCCGCATGAAATATGTCATTGAGTGGACCAATGTTGTAGATGGGAAGTTGGGAAGTTGGGAAGGTATATCTGTAAGCAAGGATTAGTTCTGAGCAACTATTCTGAGCGGAGCTCGGTTTATAGTATTGCTTTTTCAACAATGTGTATGTTATAGTAAAATAAATATATATTGAAACAATTTGTATGGACCAGTAACCAGATTTGTTACAGATTATTCTTTACTAAAATGATTTTCGTCAAAATTTGATATTAAAATTTTTATAAAAAAATATACTAAATTAAATTAATTTTTTTTAATTTAGATCACAAAGTACGACATATAATTAACCTCCAGTTCAATTTTCAAGAATTTTTGTTTAGTCTAACAATTTTATTACAGAGTACCTACCGAATAAAAATTAGGTACAAAATTCGCAAAATTAAAATGACTGTAAATAGTTTAAATGTTTTTATAGTTTCTACTGTCTTAGTCCAACTATCGAGTAACACACAAAAACAATACTTACTGAGAATTAGTAAAACTAGCTTAATTTTGATTTTAAAGTAAAATTACTTATTATGAAATCTATAGAGAAAAATATTTTGGAGGGAATATTATCGGTGTTTTTTGATTTATGAATTATTAAAAAAGTTATAGTTATTTAAAAATACAAAAAAATAAAGGTTTTTATATCGAGCTGTATATTTGAATAATGCATAAACCTTATAACATTCACTCCAAAATATTGTTCTCCATAAATGTCATATTAGATACAATTACACTAAAATCAAAAATGGTAGTCGGCGACGTGGGAATGAACCTTATTTACTTATGGCTAGATCCTAGATAGTTTGATAAAAACATTATTTTATAAAAAAGAAACAAGATAGTTTTTCAAATTATTTTAGTTTTGAAAGTGCTGAATTAGGATTGGAAATGTTCAACTAGAACTGGAGAGAGAGGCTGAACTAAGGTTCGGAGATGCTAAAGCATTTTCAATCACTACTCAAGTTACATCTACGCCAAAAGGACGGCGTTAGCATTGCTTCCTACGGGGTATTGCTTTAACTTAATATACCTAACATAACTTTGTTATAACGTAACATAACCTATTATTATTTAACATCAATAGTGCGGTGCAAAATTAATTTTTTGACTTTATTGTTTGGTCATCAAAAACAGAAAACCTCCAACCCGAGAAAAAATTCTGGCTACGGCACTACAATATTCGGTATTATGTCGATATAATTGAATTGGTCGAGCAGTACTTCAAAATTGAACACAAGGTTCATCATAAATTATACTTTATGGAATAAAATTATCGTAACATAGTAGTTTTTTTATATGCTTTTTAAAGTAGTAAGGGCTTTTTTTTTTAAATGCGTTAAAATCGCACACCCACAAGCCCTTTGAATATTGTATATTCGCTTGTTATTATAATGTCGTTGTTACACCTGCTTATAATATATTTCTGTAAATCGGCTCTTACCCGCCAACGATACATCTGAGAAACGCATGTTCCGTTTCCAGCGACATCCAAGTCTCAACGCGGACGCCGGAGTCACTGTTGTCCGTAACAGTGAGATTTACCTCATACACGTCGTCGCCTTCGCAGACTGCCGGGTCAGACCCGCGTAACAATTTGCCCCCCACGGCAGCTACCAACCGACTTTTCGGTATTAGACACTTGACGGGTACCGTGAGGCGGCGGTTTTTGGACATCGTACAGCACTGTTTTGTCACGACAACAATAATATAAGTGCCCGTCTATTTTATGTTATTGAATGACACAAATCGATGGTCAGCCTTTGTAATAATATATATTAACAGTCGAATCTCCGTAGTAACCTACGCAGGCATGACACTTTGTTGTGTAATTTGTAACGATTTTTTAACGGTGTTTATCCGGCGTGATCGTAGTTTAACCGTTTTACGATATGGAAACCAAATAATCACTCCGCAGACAAAATGAACACAAATGGACATAAAATCGATGTTTTTTATGTGAATTTGAGTCATACTGACATACTGTTAAACGGGCTAGATGCTTATATTGCATTGGAATTATTTTAGCCGGAAGATACATTTTATCGAATGAGAATGTATGAAATGATACGGATTTGAACATATTATGAGTGAAATTACACAGTGTTGAATAGACATTGCTCAAAACCGATATTTGGTTATTATATGTTTGGTTATTGATAGAACACTTATCAATATAGTGTATTAATAAAAATAGAAATAAATAATACGTCGTGTATGTACATATAGGATGGCGTCTTTCTTTTTCCCATAAAAAATATGAAATGACGCCCCTGACGTAGAGCTTAAATTTTCTCTACAACCACTTACTGAAATTTGCAATTCACTGATGATTTTGTGTCCGAGTATGCAGAGTATGCGGTCTTACAAATCATATATAAACGAACTTTGCTCAGACTAGTTTTGTCGTTAGGAATGATTTATCGTTGCTTATTCTACCTTCCCAACTTCCTACGTACAACAGTAATGCCTCCATTATCAGTATCAGCTTTTTTTTTTAAATTCGAGTTTATTTTAATATTTGATTCGACGGTTGCAATTGGTGTTTCCTGTTTTGCAACCGAGTAATGTTTTGAATTATTAGCACAATATTTATGACGGTATACAATAATATGACGTATAATTTACAACAACCGACAATTTTAAGTCAAAGTTATTAAAATATTTGTTAGTTTATTTTATTATTATAAATAGTAAAAATTAAGAAATATATGTTGTTGTTCAATAGAAAATAATAAAGTAGTTAACATAATAAATACGTTTGTAATATTATTGAGTGCTAGTGGTTTTCCAAATTTCTTCTAAAATAATAAATTTGTATACATTTGGAGTAAAACAAACTAAAACTAAATTTTTTTCTTATTTTATATTTTAAATTATAATATTACAAATATTATACTTGTGCCTTGTCAATTATTATTGAATTATGAATATGAACTATTTGAAATACAGTCGTACATTTTCAATTTTGAACATTTAATAGGTAAATCTAGCTTGTGCTATAACAAACCATTCTGATCGGTTCCACCTTCGGCAGTCATTTTATTTCGATAGTTAAACAATCTTTTTTTCAATGATAAAGTAACACTACCATGTATTATAACTACCTTGAGTCAGGTTATGTTTTAAAATACCATCAATTTTCGTCAACATTTAAACCTAACCACTTATATGAAAAAAAAATTTAAAAAAAAATTTTATAATATGTTTTCAAATATTATGAAAACTATATGAAAAATCAAAAACGGCATTTTTATATATCAACTGGTAGGTGTACCAAAAATGGTGTGTAAATTAATAAATGTCGCGTCTGGACTGCACGGTTTTAAGCATAGCAACGCATATGAAATCATGACCAGTAGCGCGCTGAAATTTGTTGTAAATGGGTGCGTCTAAAATAAAATTTAACGAGGAGATTCTTGTGGTTTTTGAAATACAATTAAAATGAAAAATCGTTAATTTATAATTTAACTTTGCAGTAATCCAATTTTTGCATTAAAATGAAAAGTTTAAAATAAAACCAAGCGCCTGTATTTTACAAAAAGAAAAATGTAAAAAGGATAAAATGACAGAACAAATCGGTGACAAATAAGTAAAATTAAGTACAAATAAGTCTGTAAAAATAAGAAGGAAAATGTTTTGTATCGGTTTTAAACGTTCAGACACAACTATTATGTTACCTACAGAATGCCGGGACCCAATCAGTGTAATACTCGAAACACATAGGACTTTTTAATCTCTTAGGTTCCGTGTTTAATAGTCAATAGGTAACTCATTTCTCAGAAACCCTTGCAACGATTTACAATTGGTAGGTATATTAAAATAGTTTTTTTAAATATATTCGAAAAGTTTTTATTCAGTATATTCGATAGTTCATTCAAACTATCGAAAACGATCGTTAGTATAAAATATTCGAAAATGACAACCACCAGTAACTTCTGATAATTAAGTAATGACTAATAAATAAATAAAGCTGTTTGAATAAATTATGTTTTTATAGAATGAAAAAAAACCAATTCAATAAAAACTAGTAATTATTCTTAATGTGAATACAGAAAAAATCATTAATATAATTATATAATTATATTATTATACATTACTTTTCTATAGGTACGAGTTCAATAAAACCACTTACAAAAAAATTTCAAGCGGAAGAAAAGAGTTAATATTTTATAAAACGCGCAATTCAAATTTTGGTATCTTGGAAAATGTAATAATAAGATTAATGGTTTATTATTTCAAAAAAATTGTATTCCAAAAATCACAAAAATCGTTAAATTATATTTTATATTTGTTCAAAACTTAAATCATAGTAAAATGTTTTAAGGACGCGAAAATATATTATAAAATAAAATAAAATATAAAAACTGTTTATAAACATTTTAATTTTGCGAATTTTTTACGTAACTTTTATTGGTGGGTAAGACTCGGTAGTTAAATTGTTTTACTTAACAGAAATGCTTGCAAATTTTATATAACAGTTTTAAAAACAAATTATGACAAAAATCGTAAATATTACGGCCTTTCAAATCATGTATGATATAACTGAACTTCGCTCCGTATCGTTTTTAGTTATCAAAGGTTTATCGTTGGTTACAGGTATAAATTGAATTACATTATGTAGTCCACCTTTCCCATTATTCACCTACAACAATAGCAATACCCATCTCCAGTATCAGTTCTTTTTTTTTTTTGGTTTTTGATAAAATATTGTTTTAGACATTTATTTATTCAGTAATTTCAAATTATCATTGTGTGCAAAATGAAAAATAATTAGAAGCAGTACAAATTCTATGTACTAACCGTAGTTAAATCGTTAGTTGAATAATTTACATAACCCGAAGGTGTACCTACAATGTACCTACTTCAAAACGTGCGCCACGGCGCACCACAGTATGTATTATTATACCTTAAATATAATATTTTCGGTTCTAACTTGTTAAAAAAAATGTTCTATTTCTACAATAATCATTAAAAAAATATGTATAAATTATTGAAATATGTATTATTCTACCAGACTTATTACAGTGTGTCTATAATTATTTATTATTATTACAACATTGTGCTGGTGTGGTAATGTAGAATAAACATAAATGTCTTCGATTCATGTATGATAATATGTTGGTAGGTACGTTCTAAAATTTTACATAACATTCAAGGTTTTGAGTTTAAAAATATATATAGGAATTGTTGGGAAATTTCAATATTAAAAAAAACAATTATAATTTAATAAAATCAAAAAATAAATCGAGACTATTTCTTAACATGAAATCAGAATATTGTAGTTATTGGCAGTTGTAATTTTAGTTGAGAAGGCAATTTGTAAAATTTTTACATATTTTAATAATAAAAAAAAAGTTCATAAGTATGCATATGATACAAATCTAGTTGTTGTACACTTATTTAAATATATTTTTTTTAAAATTCATAAATAACATACTTAATTAAACTTAGCTGAATTCTTTGCAAGTGCTTATAAATAAATTTACTATATGACCCTCAACATGTCGAACCTGGCGAAAACAATTATACTCACATATAAAACCAAATAAAATTAAAATAAAAACAAAAATTTCAAATGACTATAAATGGCTCAAAAATAGTCATTACTTTTTTAAAAATTGACCACGTTTAACAAAAGCCTTACCGTGAAAATTTCAGGGTTAAAGTATTTCTCTTAGAGTAAAAAAGTCAAAATATCGAAAAACGCAAAATTCATATAATTTGTATGCACCAGGTTTGACAAATATACAACGATTGAATTTTCCATTTTCCATCTAGATTCGACTAGTTTTAAGGTGCTCATGGACTTGAGTTGTACAGTTTCGAATCTCGCTCTCGGGGGTTTAAAACTACTATACTTAAAAATATCGGCAAATACTGTAGAGGTGTTTAGCATAATGCCCTAAATAAATGACAGTCAGAATTTCGATTTTAAAATTTTTAATACTTCACAGCAATATTGAAATCTCCCATATGTTTGCGGAAAATTTAAAAATGGAAATTCTGACTGCAGAACGTTAATAAAGTAAAAATATAGGGGTGGTTTTTTGATACTTTGACTTTTTTTTTACCATAAAAGCTAGACTTCAACCCATTTCAAGTCTCTACGATTTGTTTTACTCGAATTATAATAAAAAGCAAAATTAAAAAGACATAATTCGCACGTGGATACAGCCACTGTTATAGGTGGGAAATTAGGAACGTAGAATACAGACGGGAATTTAATGTATATCTGTTAGCAACAATAAACTATTGCTAACGAAAATATGATTCTAAGTGGAGCTCAGTTGATAGTGTTGCTTTTTCAACAATATATATATATGTCATATAATGATAAAATAATTATATACGCATAAAACATTTTCTTAAATAATATTAGTTTAATAATGTACCTATTTTCCCGTTCTCCCGTCTTTCTTCCTTTTTTTCCTGTTTTTCCAATATATTTAAAAAAACTTCTGAGAAAATGAAAAAAAAAATGACTTCCCTAAAATACTTCTCAGTCAAATTTCCCTTTCAAAAAAAGTACTTTTATCGTAAATTGGAGCGAAAATGCTCGTAGAAAAATTGTTTACAAGAAAAAAAAAGGCCGTAATATTTTTAACTAATACTTACATTTCGTACATTTTCCAGTTTTTTACCGGTTTTTCGAATATATTGAGAAAACTCCCCAG